TCGTATATTAATATCTCGACATTGTGGGAAATGCTTTTTTGAATTAAAAAAAATGCTGATAGTAAACTCGAAGCACCAGTAGAGAGCGGTATAACTTGAAGTAGCCGGCAGTGAGGACCTTTAACCTGCAGTCCCCGCCTAGCTCCTTCCTCTTCCGGTTACGGCGACAGCAGGTATGGCGGCGCCTGCGTTCCTCTGAAACGTTATGATTTTATTATCCACTGTAATCCTACGATTTAGAAGAAAATGTAGTTGATTTCCAATGACTATACAACTACGAACAAGTCTATGGTTCTAACGATTTGATGATTTTATTAGTTAGTTGGTGTCTGAGACATTTTAAGAAGTGCCGTCCCTGAGGCCGCAATCTAAACACCCAACTTAATGTGGGATGAATGATGTAGAGAGGCCTGGATATGTTTGTTTTCCTACCGACGACTTGAGTTATAGATAAAGTTACGGTTCCTGTGATGTAAAAGAGTGGGGTCAACTAAATTCTGTCAGTGTTGTTGTAAACTACAATATTAGCCGGTGTCACTGACACCTAGAGCCGTAGCATCTGTAGCACGGCTAGCAGGGTTAGCAACATAGCCCAACATTAACTGAATGTTGTATCTGCTTCCAGCTTCAAGATGGTGCAGCGCCTGACTTACCGTCGCAGGTTGTCCTACAACACAGCCTCCAACAAAACCAGACTGTAAGTGAACTTTCTGCCGCGACTCCGTTATGTTACCTGCACGGAAAGCTGACTACATAAAAGCAACGTGACCTGCTGTGTAACGGTAACATTGTGTGCTAACTACAGATCTCGGACGCCTGGTAACCGTATTGTGTACCTGTACACCAAGAAGGTCGGTAAAGCCCCCAAGTCAGCATGTGGCATCTGCCCTGGAAGACTGCGTGGAGTAAGTAAACCCATTGTAATTACTTTGATGAAAGCTCTCTGCTTTTCCCCCAGCATGCTGCATATGTGTGGTTAGGCTCCTGTGCAAAGACTCAGTGTATACATTTGAAATATGTAGGGCCCACATGGGACTAGTCTCATTTAAAACAACAATAAAGACATTAACATGTAACCTTTTGTAGAACTAATGAGGGAGTTCTGTTTCCGCTTATTTTCCTCACTAAATCTGGTGAGTTTACCATTTTAATTAGTAATCCACATTGGATGTAATCAGGAACAGAATAGATGCCATGGACGATCCTGGTGTAGCCTGTATAAACGCACGCCTTTGCTTCGGCGTGTATATATCAACACATCTCTCTTGACTTGCTGTATAGAAAAATGCGGAACCTTGAAGTTTAAAAACGGATGCAATACTAATACTTAAAAGCAAATCAAAGTATACAAGAGGAGCTCATCTTGTCTGAGTGTAGTTCATTAAAACAATCTTTGTTGGTCCCTCTTGAGGTTTGAACTTAAAACTGCATAACTGACACAAGCTGCCACAGATATAGAAGCATTGTACCCAATGTAATGAGCTTCTTTTCTAGCTTTGCATCCTTATAGTTAAAGATGGGAGCATTGTAAGTGCCTGCAGCCATTCAGAGATTAATTCCACCAACTTCAAGTTAAGAAAAAAGAGAAGATGTGGCTTTTTGACAAATTAATAAGGAAGCCTGCTTTTTTTTGGGCTTGTGATACTGTGACTGAAATGCAGGCCAAGTGATCTCAACACATTACTTGTTTGAACAGTATAGGAATTCGTTAGTACTTTAAATTTTAGAAACTGGCGAGGTCATGCTAGTTCACATGCTCTTGTAGGAAATAAGCTGTCCTGTCAACCGTTATTCATTCTTACTTAACACGGTGAGCTAAAATCTGGGGATTTATTCAGAAATTCAAGTCATACAGCACTGAAGCGTCAGAACATGAATTGCAAAAACAAACTTTAGCGACTTGGGCTGTAGTTGGCTTCAGAGAAAGGTCTCTCAAACATGCACTGTTTAAATTAGTGAAGAACTGCTGGTGAGCCAGATTCAGAACTGGCTTTCTTAACTCCAATATGTAGATACATCTTCTAGTACTTGTATTTTGGTCTTCCCCTTATTGTATTGTCGTGTTTTAAAGTAAAGTAGTATTTTACGCCTGAAATGCACACAATGTAAACAATGGATTGCTAAAGCAAACTGAATTCTACGTAGTCATGCAGGTATTGCACTTGCGACCACAGTAAAGCTGGTGCAGATTTAAAACTTGTCTGTACTTGAGACCTCATCTTTCAGGCCTACAGTACAATCCAGACTTTGTTGTTTTTAAGCGTGCAGACTTTGTAATGGTGCCACTGGATTTGAACATGTTCATGATACCTTTTACCAATCTCTGCATGTAGCCTGCTGTGGTCTCATTGTGGTACTTGTCTTGTAGATCCGGGCTGTTAGACCTCAGGTTCTGATGAGGCTCTCTAAGACCAAGAAGCACGTCAGCAGGGCCTACGGAGGCTCAATGTGCGCCAAGTGTGTACGTGACAGGTAAACAATTTTCCTTCATCTAACTGGAAAGGCTCAAGTATTTGCTTTGTGGAAGCTAATGACAAGTTGTCAGTACAACTACTAAAAATTATCATCGAGCATGGGAATAATGAGTTGTGGGTTTTCAATGGCTAATGCATTGTATCTAAATGGTCTCTTGCATTTGTTCTCAGGATCAAGCGTGCTTTCCTGATTGAGGAGCAGAAGATCGTCGTCAAGGTGCTCAAGGCTCAGGCACAGAGCCAGAAGTCTAAGTAAAATGTGTATTTGTATTGCCACAATAAAAAAATGACAGACATCCATTTCTTGTTGTCATTAGTGTGTCTTTTAATTGAAGAGGATGAATCTGTGTGAATGGGATTTATGGTCTTTGAATGCCTTGCACCTGATTTATTAAATATTTTTAATAAATGCCAAAGGTTTGGATTATAACAATCTACTTTTATGAATTCAGTTTAACTCTAGGCCAAATACAATATGGTCTACAGTTCAAGCTTTTAAATCACATTAGTTTCATAAAAGGATGTTGTTTTTTTACCCAAAGTGATGACCTGCACAGAATTTCAACAGATTTTTACTGGTTCTGTAAATATTAGATGGAAAAACTGATGCAGAGTTTATATGTTACTGATTTCAAAACAAAACCAAGCATAGAAGAAAATGAATTGTTAAATGGAAGCTTGCGGTTTGAAGTTTAAAAGTAGTCCTAAAGTTGGTAGTAGTCCTGTATAGATTGTAAAGCCCATTTAGAGGAATTGGTAATACTTAATTGACTGACTTAATGAAATAATTTTGACTGGAAAGGAACCCTAAAATACCAGAAAAGTGAGGTTCCCTGACTCACCAACACCTACACTGCTCAAGAAAAGTCAAAGAAAATAAGTACTTTATCTAAATGTATTAATTCTAATGGCAAAATTCCACATTCATACACTGCTCAAGAAAATAAAGGGAACACTTAAACAACACAATGTAACTCAAAGTCAATCACACTCCTGTGAAATCAAACTGTCCACTTACGAAGCAACACTGATTGACAATGAAGTTCACTTGCTGTTGTGCAAATGGAATAGACAACAGGTGGAAATTATAGGCAATTAGCAAGACACCCCCAATAAAGGAGTGCTTCTGCAGGTGGTAACCACTTCTCAGTTCCTATGCTTCCTGGCTGATGTTTTGTCACTTTTGAATGCTGGCGGTGCTTTCACTCTAATGGTAGCATGAGACGGAGTCTACAACCCACACAAGTGGCTCAGGTAGTGCAGCTCATCCAGGATGTCACATCAATGCGAGCTGTGGCAAGAAGGTTTGCTGTGTCTGTCAGCGTAGTGTCCAGAGCACGGAGGCGCTACCAGGAGACAGGCCAGTACATCAGGAGACGTGGAGGAGGCCGTGGGAGGGCAACAACCCAGCAGCAGGACTGCTGCCTCCGCCTTTGTGCAAGGAGGAGCAGGAGGAGCACTGCCAGAGCCCTGCAAAATGACCTCCAGCAGGCCACAAGGAGGAGATCCCTCAGGAGACCATCCGCCACCTCATCAGGAGCATGCCCAGGCGTTGTAGGGAGGTCATAGAGGCACGTGGAGGCCACGCACACACTACTGAGCCTCATTTTGACTTGTTTTAAGACATTACATCAAAGTTGGATCGGCCTTTAGTGTGGTTTTTCACTTTGATTTTGAGTGTGACTCCAAATCCAGACCTCCATGGGTTGATAAATTTGATTTCCATTGATAATTTTTGTGTGATTTTGTTGTCACCACATTCAACTATGTAAAGAAAGGAGTATTTAATGAGATTATTTCATTCATTCAGATCTAGAATGTGTTATTTTAGTGTTCCTTTTTTTTTTTAACAGTGTATAACTGAAATTTTTATGCTGTGATTTTGGGAAGACAGAATAAGCTCTTTAAATTGGAGTAAATTCCACATCCTGACATCAAGCTGCAAGAAAAATTTTAATGATACTCATCCACGTTAATGACATTTTATAAAACGGGTTAACTGGGATCTAATCAACGTGGTCACGTGAGAAATGACGACAGCAATGCTTTCTTTCCCCACATTTTTGTTATCAAAAATTACAATAATTGTCAGATACTGTACGCTACAATGTTAGAGAGCAAAAAAACCCCAACAAAACATACACAAAAATGACCGTTATTAACATTAATAAAATATTTTCTTATCCTAATCAGATAGAAAACAACTGTAGGAAAAAGTAAATAAATGTAGAGAAGTAAATAAATGAGGGATACAAAAGGGGTAAAGATAAATATTTCAGAAGCGCTTCAGAGCATAGACCGTAAAGAATGACGTTACAATGACGTGAAGCTTTACGTCACGCCAGTGGTGCGGGGCAAAATGTTAAAGTATGTACCGTAAAGTGAATACAACTATCAGGGAAATAGTTATGCTTAAAAATTACAATTAACACGGACTATATTAATAATATCAATATATATATATATAACACATTAAATGAGTGAAATGGAAATGGCAGACTGTGGTAAAGAAATGTACTTCCGGGACACGTCAACAAAGTCGCTGTGCAGACGGAGCTCATCCAGCGACAGCAGCTGTATTGTAGTGAGAGGAAATATCTATACAGACCATGGAGACATTATACAGTATACCGTTTGTTGTGCTGGAGTGCCCTAACATCAAACTGAAGAAACCTTCGTGGCTGCACATGCCGTCTGCTATGACTGTGTATGCGGTCGTTATTGTGTCCTACTTTCTCATCACAGGAGGTAATGTTAAGCTAACGTGGATGCAAGGCTAGCTAGCTTGTTAGCATCGCATCTTTATTGTGGTAGCACGGGATTTACAGATCATTCATGTGTGGTTGGAATAATGTCAGATATTGTAGGCTTTGGTTGCATTTGTAAATCGGCTTGGTGGTAATATTAACGCTACCATGCACCCAGGTAGCCTAATGTAAGAGAGAGTAGGCTAACTCAGCAGTTAAGCTATCAGCAGAAACTAGTAGAATGTTTGATACGCAAAAGTGTTTATTATCCAGCATTACGTTAGTAGTACACTTATGAACGTATCAATAACATTTAGTAGGTCTGTCATATTTAGCATGATCAATATTCTAATTAATAACGCTGCTTAGACTTACGTAACGTTACGTTGTTTTACACTGTGATTGATTCCAACTAAATCTTCCCCCACATTATAGGTATCATCTACGATGTTATTGTAGAGCCACCAAGTGTGGGTTCAATGACTGATGAGCATGGACACCAACGGCCAGTGGCCTTTTTGGCATACAGGTATGTCGGTCACAACATTTGTGAAAACAAAACTACAGCTAAGGCCAGGAGCCAGTTGGTGTTGGAACCTGGATAGTATTGGTTGAGTAATTTAATCACTCAAGATAATGCATAGCTAATGTCAGCGTGTTCCCCACTTTCAGAGTAAACGGGCAGTACATTATGGAGGGACTGGCCTCCAGTTTCCTCTTCACGATGGGAGGCCTGGGCTTTATAATCCTGGACCGCTCTAATGCACCAAACATTCCCAAACTGAACCGCTTCCTGTTGCTCTTTATCGGTTTTGTCAGCGTTCTCCTCAGCTTCTTCATGGCCAGAGTGTTCATGCGCATGAAGCTGCCGTAAGTCTGAGCTTGTTTCCACGGCGAAAAAAGAAGGTCTATGGGTGTAATAGTTGTTAATATTAAATGATATTCTGCGTCTCTAAACTGACATTTGTTCTGTCACAGTTTCTCAATTTTTTCATCTTTTGTCTTTTCAGAGGATACCTCATGGGCTAAAGACAAAAAGATGATCTGGATGGACCGAGGACATCAAATGCATGTGGCCCAGCAGGCAGTTCAACTAAAGTTATTGATAAACTTGACCTTTTGATATAATCAGACAACCATTAAGGACTGAAAGCACCGGACTTTGTCAAGAAATTAGACCCAATGACTTCCTGTCCTCTCCTTTTCTCCAAATTTCTAAACTTTGTCACAGTCACATCATTATCACCAATTTTCCCATATCCAGGTCCCTCTTAGTGTAGTGCATCTGTAGCACACTAATTTCACATCTCTAAACAGAAGATAGCAGTACCATGCAGCAGTTGAATTAGTCACTGGAGAAGAAAAAGGAAGTTACTGAACACTGATTTGGAATCAGGATAAGCACTGCGTGAATCATTTAGAGGGGATTCTGAATAATGTTGAATTTTTTTTTTTTTTTTTTGTAAAGAAATTATTGAAAAAAGCTTTGAACCTGTCACAGTTGCATTTTTGTACAAGGGTGTGAAATAAATCTTCTTTTCAGAGCTCCTTGGAGCCATCATATGTATATCCTGTATATCTTAAACAGATTATCATAATTTTCCACATTAATGTATTAAGAGCGAAACTGGTCCAAGACCAAGATGAATATATCTACGGTTTGTGGCCTGTTAGCATTTATTTAGGAGACGTGATTTCCACTTAAGCATTGTAATTTACCCTCCAGAAGGTGGCGGCATAGTTATACCTGACAGTAGTGTTTCCTGGTCATTGCCACATTGTATTGAGCTGTAACCTCCTGTAACAGGACAACAGCGGACAGCAGTTTCATATTAGAAAGTATTAAGTGGGACAGTGTTGTTCTAGTAGCCTATTCAATTTTCACCTCTGATCAAAACCTTACAGTTCTGCAGTGTTACTATTTTGTTCTGAATCAGAAATCTGAGACAGCTTTATTATTAAGTAGTTTTTACACTATCAAGTAACAATATACATAAAATATCAATGTAAAAATATGAAACTGACAAAATATTAAAGTTATAGAAGAATAATCTTAATAATAATTTATTTACATGTGCATAAAAAAAACCCAAATATGTCAAACGGTAAGGCAAATTCCTTTGTTGTTGTTCACTGAAGACATTTGGGTTTAAGATCAAAAGATGAGTAGGAGACAAGAGTTCAGAATTTCTGCTCTCATTTTGTGGTATTCACATCTAGATGTGTTAAACAACTCAGGACATACCCCAGTTTGAATTAGACCCCAGCATTCCTATGTGAGCAAAAGTAATGGAACAAATAATAACGACAATAATAAGTAAATAACATATATAATATTTGGTGGCATAACCCTTGCTTGCAATAACTGCCTCAAGCCTGCGAACCATCGACATCACCAAACTGTTGCATTCTTCATTTGTGATGCTATTCCAGGCTTTTACTGCAGCTTCTTTCAGTTTGTTTTGGGGTGTTTCTTCCTTCAGTCTCCTCTTAAGGAGGTGAAATGCAGCTCTATGGGGTTAAGGTCAGGTGATTGACTTGGCCAGTCTAAAACCTTCCACTTTTTCCCCTGATGAAGTCCTTTGTTGTGTTGGCCGTGTGCTTTGGGTCATTGGCCTGCTGCATGATAAACTTCCTCACGATTAGTTTCAATGCATTTCTCTGTAAATTGGCAGACAAAATGTGCTGCTACCATCATCAGTTCCATCATCAATAAATATTAATGAGCCTGTTCCAGAAGCAGCCATGCACGCCCAAGCCATGACAGTACCTCCACCGTGCTTCACAGATGAGCTTGTCTGCTTCGGATCATAAGCAGTTCCTTTCTCCACACCGGTGCTCATAGTCCTGGAGTCAGACATGTTTTGCCAGCTTCAGGTGCCACTTTCTGATGGAGAGGAAGTTTTTTGATCCACCTGTAGGTAGAGTCAGGCACGCTCAGCTGGAAGAGCTTGTCCTGAAGCAGAGCAGGGATGATAGTAAAAACTAATGAGGGAGTACTGAAGGGAGGGTTGTACTCGTTTGGCAGTTGAGTTCAAATGTCAACAATCCTGCAGAATCACTTACTCTCCCTGTGATAAGGTGTTTTCTTAAGAGATTTAAAATTTGACATGTTAACACAAACACACCCCAACGTTTGACTGACACAGCTGTCTGAAACACCCGTTTACTAATTTGCAGAAGTAGAAACATCAAAACCAAAAGATATTAGTTGATTACCTAAACAGGATCTTTAACATGACCGCTTCTATGATCCACCTGTCATCGATGTAAGGACTTAGACAGAGACGAACTCTGGACATCAACACTGACTCTGTGGGAATGAAGGCAGCTGTCAGGTTGGCAACAGTTGCACTGAAACATTTCTCTGTATGAAGCTGTAACTGATAAATGAACAATCATTTGTCATTATTTGGTAAGTTGCCCTATAGCACTACATTCCTATCATAGTTATCATTCATAGTTAAGAATGTTTGTGAGTGAGGATGATTGTGGTGCAGCTGAAACAACTCTGACTGATACTGGACTATATGTAGGTTAAAGGTTGAGTTTTTGAATATTATCTGATTATAATCTAATGTGTTTTGACAGTATTTAATTAAATATATATATATACAAATAGTCTACAAATGTACAGTCAGTTTGAACCTGGACACATTTTACACTGCAAACCACCAACATAATTATTACTGGGTTGGACTGGGACTTTACAATCACAGGTCCGTGAGTAAAGTTTGCCTGTTTAATCCATATTTTCATATTTTCATCTTCAGTTATTTGTCACTGTCAGATTATAGCTGAATAAATATACCATCTATTAAATATCAAATGTAACATACAGTGAGACGCTTTATCATTCATTAAGGAAATTCAAGTCTGCTGAATGAGTTGATGAAGCTGAATAAAATGTAATAAATGATTGACTTCTTTCTCTACTCCTGAACCGAACTGAACCATTGATGAGGGCTTTCTTTCATTCCTCACGCATGTATTTGACTCAGAGGGAACATACTGAGAGTGGAACAAATTTTGATCAGCTGTTCAGGAACTGAAACCTCTGAGTTTCCCATCTCGGGCTTGATCAACTAAGAGCTCAGGGTTAGGCCCATAGTTTGTAAACCTGCTTTCTGAAACAGGGCCCTGTGCTCCATGGGAAATGCTGTTCCCATCTGTACTTCCCCAGGTGTAAATACTGCACAAAGGTACAAAATATGATACTGTACATCAGTGCTTAATGCAACCAGGAAGTAAAATAAAATGGATCCACATATTAAAAGTAATAAAAGGGGAGGAAATATTGCTTAACTACCTGAAACCATCAAACACATTAAGTTAATTGATGTGAAGTACATTAATCAAAATATCCAATACAATTTTGTTTGACAAAGTCTTTCTAATACTAGCCTACTACAACTATGCATAAGCTTCACTGCTCTTATTTAACAAAAAAAAATGTAATTATCTGCATTTAATAAAGTGGGCTGTCTGGGCTGTCTGCTGGGATACTAGATGGCACTTCCCACACACTGTTGAGTGGGTCACTTGCTTCCTGTCTGCTCCTCAACACATTCTGGAGAACAGCTCAGGACTTTGGCCAAATCTTCTCCTCCAGAGACTGAGAGAACATCTTGGTTTTTGTTTTTTTGTTTTATGAAGGTCATAGATGTGCGTCAATACATCACATTCATTTTTCTCAGAGCAGCAAAGGAAGGGCTTCTCTTTGACTGTATGACATGCAAGTCACAAACTCAGCTTTTGGGAACAGCGTCCAGCCTCGATTAAGAAGGAACATGGGAACATTACAAAATAATTGCAAACTTGTCAAACATTATCAATGTTTGTTTGGCTGAAGCAGACGGGAAAAAGATGCGCTGTAGTCCTATACTCAGAACAGTTCATGTACATATACTCCACTTGCACTTGGTTCAAGCCGACCCTCCTAGAACGCAGAGTTCAGGGTCAAAATTCCCCTTGTGGGTCGAAAAACAATCACATACAAGATTTTTCACCCAGGATTTTATTCAGTACAGATTGATGCACCCCAAAATGCGTAACGGTATTCCACACTTGCAACTACAGTGAGCAATGTTTATAATAATCAGTAAAAGCTATACGTAAATACCACAAGTCACATTAAGGCATCGTTGCTTGTTTTGACACAATACGCTTTGATTTTATAAAGTTATCACTCCCTGAAAATCATAAAGTGAATGTTAGCAAAAGTTAAAATAAAAAACTTACAGGTTGTGTAGCATTGTGAGTCGCATAATTTAGGAAACTGTTTTTGCACATATATAACCAAAATAGACATGAACAAGTGGCTTGATTCCTAAGTGTAATTACAAAAATTATACCTGAGAAGACACTTCTGTCTCATACACACACAGTATATTATTATATATATATATATATATATTATTTTTTTTAATTTAGGTTACATGCTTACGGACTTTACTTTTTCCCCCAGCGTTTGGTCACCTCCCAAGTTAATAATGCCTCTTACCAGCTATACTATATATAGCTATATATATACTATACTATATAAAAGATAAAGTCATCCGTTCACAGCTCTGACTGTTCATAAGCAGCATTATGTCTTGAGGCGTTTGGTTCGTTGAGGAACTCCTTGACTCACTCCTTTGCTGTGTGCTAACCCGCTGTGATAGTGGTGTCCATTTTCATCAGCTGGCAGCTTGAAATAAAACCATGAAGAGATAAATTTGAAATAAAAATCATAGAGGTTGGGGAAAAAAACATGAGAATGTAGACATCTGTTGTGGTTGTAAAACATATATCTGGATACAATTTAGGCAAGAGAAAGAGTTTAAAACAGGGGGCAGAGTCACACAAACCTGTTTTTTAGTGCTTTCATTCTCAACATTCAATGCGTTGTGCAACTTCAAGCCTAACGCCGCCTCAAGCTCTGAAAACACATGATGATTGAAAGCTCTTTCAGTAATGGTAGACTACTGTGACACACCTTGATCTTTTTAAATAATGAAAGACGACAGGGTGTCCCAGCAACACCACTCCACACCACAAAGAAAAAAAAGTAAAAGTAATGGGGAAATGCTATGCACCTGTGAGAATGCTGTCGATTTTCCCCACCACCAGGTCAGCGTCCTCCATAGAGAAGCACATCGGGGGCTTGAATTTGAGCACATTGCGATGAGGTCCGTCAGCACTAAGAAGGATGTGCTGTTCCTTTAGCCTGGGACAAACCGTGAGTTATTCTGTGCTCTGCATCGATTTACAAATTTAAAATTTAAAATGCCTTTTTCCCAGAAGAAATTTTGACTACTCATAGAAGGAAACCTTCCTCTTGCACATCCTCCATGCTTCTAACATCAACTATGAGGACACAGTGTTAACTTGCTGCCTAATAAATCCCACCTACTGACAGGCGCCATTGTTATTCACTTCATCTGTCAGAGGTCATAATGTTATGGTGTACAGTCATGGCAGTGAACCACCAATGGGTGCAGTCTTTGTTAATGTAATAAGTGTGTCAATCACAAAACCTTGTGTTAAAAACCAAAAAACCACGCAGGCTGAGAGTTAGGTTTTTATTTTAACAAGGCATTACACGGTTGTTATTAGTGACTTTCAAGTTCAATGTGTGAACTTGATTTTTGATGTCTTAGTAATGAAAAGCTGAATATGAAACACCTACACAAGTGAGATATCACGGCCAGATAATGAAATGGAGGCTGTAATAAGCGCTCACTTTTCAAACGCTATACACAGGAGTGCATACGATGCAGTTTTTTCAACTCAACTTTATTATCGCACCAGAAGTCAATAAGCCTTTTGTGTGGTATGAGATCCGTGTTCTTTTACAGTAGCCATAATCGTAAATGTACACTTACTTATATATGACTTCTTGGGCTTCTGCTGTCGCAGGAGTGAGAGTAAACCTGTCCCTCACAAGCTCCACCCCGACAAACAGCCCACGGCCCCTGCAGGACATGACCCCAACACACAATTACAACCTCTACGTACTAAGCAATGTTAGAATTTAGCTATTTTTAAGATAGTCATGCACAGAAAGTTGTCTCCCAAAAAATTACTTATACTACTTTTTACTTATAATTGGATTATAGGAATATACACCAAATTAAGCCTTTTAAGTTAAGTTGGATGAGTTTGACAGGACATGCACAGAGCTAATTAATATAAATGTCCTCCTGTGTGTGTGTTAGCTCACCTGACATCACCAACCAGTGGATGCTTCTCTTTCTCCTTTTCCAGCAGTTTGGTCAGGTATCGGCCCACACGCAGTGCATTGCCCTGGAGATCCTCTTTCACAATCACATCTAGGACGGCCAGACCGATGGCACACGACACTGGGTTACCGCCAAACTGAGGAATTCAAAACCCACACACAGAGGAAGGATTACACCACCTGGGAAATCAGCTGCTCATCAGGACGACAGAGCCATAAGACAGTTTGCTGTATTAAATATATAGCAAAATGTCACATGGGCAGCACACAGTGTTTTTATTTATGCTAAACTGAAAATAGAAATGATCGCTCCAACACACTCCACTCAGCAGTGTGCGACTGACCGCAGCAAACTGGCTGGAAAATAAATCCAATATGAAAGAAACTCACATTTGTATTATTAACCCAACTTGTTTCCTTTAACAGGAAATAACTGTAATCTGAGGCAGTCAATGAAAAAAAAAGAAATGGCTTGAACAGAATGTATTTTTTCCCCATGATGTGGAAAGCAGATGCGTCAATACGCTTGGCAAATATTAACGTCACGTCAAGGATGAGGTCAGTGCCATTTCTGGTCAACTTGGGGGGAAAAAAGCAAAGATCACGTAATGTATTCTCTGCAATCTGCCTTTCTAATACATATTATATTATATATAGTATATTAAAAACTTTCCTGAAAGGGAAAGGATGGTACAAAATAAAATTTTTATTATATTTCTTGCACAATTCTTCATTATTCTACATAATGCTCTTACTGTATTGAAATACTCCATTCCAGCTGACAGGAAGGCCTCTGCCACCTCTTTGGTTGTGACCACACAAGACATGGGATGACCGTTGCCAATAGGCTTTCCCATGGTGACAATGTCAGGCACAAAGTCCTCTCCCTGAAGCTGGAAAGCCCAGAAGTGGGTGCCGACACGCCCAAAGCCCACTTGGACTTCATCAGCGATGAAAACACCCCCTGCCTTGTGGACATGTCTGCAGACATAGGTGTAGAGATAAACGCTTGTTAGTTATTCATTCTGTTGGTGAGGTACATGCCACATAAATGCAACAATGAATATGAGATACTGAGTATGAACATGAATGAATATCTGCAGTAACTTGGGTACATACTCTGCCACTTGTTGAAAGTAGCCGGCAGGGGGAATGACCTGCCCACCACAACTCTGCAGTGACTCAGCAACAAAGGCGGCAATCTGCACAGGAGAAAAACACATCAGGTCTCTTAATCTAAAGCCAGATTTATAGACTGGAAAAGAGGAAGACCTCTGGCATCTTTGACCTGTACAGCTCCCTCTTTCATATGTGTGTCACTCTTTTCAGTTGGCAGTGCACAATTAAAAGAGAGGCAATTATGTAATGCTTGGACAAAAAAATGTTAAAGTAGGTCACTGTGGAGAGAAATTTAACATTTCCTCAGTATATTTACTTGAAAATAGTAAAAGAAAAAGTAAGTTGTCTATATTCTAAGCAGGGTGCTGCATTTTATCACATGCATGTACCTCTCCAGAATCACAAAAAAAGTGTTGTTGTATTTTTGTTAATTTTGGTTGCCTCCTGTATGTCTGCACAAACATCCTTCAGAAACTGCTAAAGACATTCTGTAAAATCTCTGGGCTGAAATCCCGTCCCTTTCGCCACTGGAAGCGCTGGCATATCCTTGGGTTGAGCTTTTAAGAGCCAACAAGCTTGGACAATAAGAGTCCCCTACACATGTTCTTGTGGTCTGGGATTTGACTAAAAGCCAAAGTCCAAGGCCTGAACCTGAGATTTTGGAGTAAAAGTGAAGAAGAGAAAAGGGGACAAAGAGGAGACGAATATTTATAAATAAAAGGCGAGAAACAAGGCAAGGCATGGAAGTCAGGATTGAAAAAAACATATTATACATATGTAACATATATAACATATAGTTATCATGCTTTTTTTTAAATTACAAAACTGGCTTACAACTTAAATAATATAGTAGAAGCACCACCAGAATCATGTGTCAATGTGTTTTTGTTTGTATATCTCAATAACCAGTAGCCAGGCTGACAGAGCGTCACAGCTCTATTGAGCCAAGTATTCCCATAGCTCTCAGTAGTTACGACTTCATGAGCTTCTTTAATGATAAAAATCTAGCTATTAGAGACAAAATTCACCAAGACCTGCCCTCAACTGGCACCAACTTATCTCTTAACTCAGAAACCTTAGAAACAGCTGTAGAACCAGATATATGTTTAGTCTGTTTTGCTTCCCTCAATCTTTACCAACTAACTTCAATAATTTCTTCATCTAAACCATCAACCTGCCTCTTAGACCCCATCCCGACTAGGTTGCTTAAAGATGTTTTACCCTTAGTCAGCACCTCTATACTAGATATGATCAATCTATCTTTATCAACAGGCTATGTACCACAGTACTTTAAAGTAGCTATAATTAAACCTCTTCTGAAAAAGCCCAAACTTGATCCGGATGTTTTAGTCAACTATAGACCTATATCTCACCTTCCATTTCTCTCTAAGGTTATGGAGAAAGCAGTTGCTAAACAGCTGTGTGACTTTCTACAGAGCAATAGTTTATTTGAGGATTTTCAGTCAGGATTTAGAGCTCATCATAGCACAGAGACAGCACTGGTGAAAATTACTAACGACCTCCTTATTGCATGAGACAAAGGACTTGTCTCTATACTGGTTTTATTAGATCTTAGTGCTGCATTTGATACCATTGACCATCAGATCCTATTGCAGAGACTGGAACATTTCATTGGCATTAAAGGAACCGCTCTAAGCTGGTTTAAGTCCTATTTATCAGATCGATTTCAGTTTGTACATGTTAACGATCCTCGGACCAATCCTCTTCACTTTATATATGCTTCCTTTAGGCAATATTATCAGGAAATATTCCATAAGCTTTCATTGTTATGCAGATGATACTCAGTTATATCTATCGATCAAACCAGATGAAACTCATCAGTTAGCTAAACTTCAAATGTGCCTTCAGGATGTTAAAACCTGGATGACCTGTAATTTTCTAATGTTAAACTCAGATAAAACTGAAGTTATTTTTCTGGGGCCTAAGCACCTCCGTGACGCATTTTCTAAAGATATAGTTTCCCTTGATGGCATCGCCCTGGCCTCCAGCACCACTGTGAGGAATCTTGGAGTTATCTTTGATCAGGACATGTCGTTTAAGTCTCACATTAAGCAAATTTCAAGGACCGCCTACAAAGCTCTCAATGGTCAGGCACCATCTTATCTTAAAGTACAGCATAGTACCTTACTACCCCACCAGAGCTACAACAACAGAGTTACTTGTGGTTCCTAGAGTCTCCAAAAGTAGACTAGGAGCCAGAGCGTTCAGCTATCAAGCTCCTCTCCTGTGGAACCAGGTTCCCGTTTGGGTTCAGGAGGCAGACACCATCTCCACATTTAAGAGTAGGCTTAAGGCTTTCCTCTTTGATAAAGCTTATAGTTAGGGCTGGCTCAGGTGAGTCCTGAACCATCCCTTAGTTATGCTGCTATAGGCCTAGACTGCCCGGGGGATTTCCCATGATGCACTGAGCTCCTCTCTCCTCTACTTTCTCTCCCTCTGTATGCAACCTCATCCCATTATTGCATGTTACTAACACAACTTCTCCCCTTTCTGGTAGTCTTGTGCTTTCTCGTCCCTCTCTTCTCTCCTCCTATCACTTCCTGCAGGTTTTCTGGCTCTGGAGCTGTGGAGTCTGAATCTGTGGCTGCGGGTCACCTGCTGCCCCCGTGTTCCTGCTCGACACCCTCTGCTGCAACGACTATTGTTACTAGTCCTATTGTTATTATTGTTATTATAATCATTAACATTATGACTGTTACCATTAACACTACTATAAATATCTGTACCATTTTTCATTTAGTGTATAGCAACATCACCTTTACTGTCTGTACCTCTGTGTGTATATTGTGTAGACTGCCTCCCTCCCCTCTCTCTCTCCTTCCATCCCTCTCTTTTTCTCTCTGTTCCTCTCCTTCCACCTCTCTCTCTCTCTCTCTCTCTCTCTCCCCCTCCCCCTCTTCACCCCAACCGGTCAAGGCAGATGGCCGCCCACCCTGAGCCATGGTTCTGCTCGAGGTTTCTGCCTCTTAAAAGGAAGTTTTTCCTTGCCTCTGTCGCCTAGTGCTTGCTCTTGGTGGGAACTGTTGGGCTTCTGTAAATAGCATCATAGAGTACGGTCTAGACCTGCTCTTTTATGAAAAGCGCTGTGAGATAACTGTTGTTGTGATTTGGCGCTATATAAATAAAATTGAATTGAATTGAATTGAATAACAACACACATTAGCAAACCAGTTTATAACATTGCATAAGACTTTATTTCCTTGAAAAGAGAGTCATCCATTAAAAGGTTATTTCTGCATTATAAGGTAGAGTAATAACTCATAACACAACAACATACCTTGCCTCCTTTTTCATGGACTCTGTGTATTATATCTTTGACTTCATCTGCATATGCTGAGGCAGGATCAGGGTGGTCCACTCTGTATTTGCCTCTGTAAACATCTGGGCTCGGAGCCTGTATAGGGGACAAGACGTAGAAATGATTACTAAAGCAGATTTACAGGTCAGGGCTGCGTCCCATTTCCACAGTGTGCACATTCACAAAAAAAAAAGAGCAAATGAAATAATATTACAAAAATGGCAGTTTATATGATAAATTTGTTAATATTTGGCAGTAGTGTTGGTGGACACCTTCGTGCCTGAATGCAATTCATAACGAAAATAGAGGAGCAACTTACAACAGGAAAACATTTTAATTGGCTCCATTTTTGTACAGTGGGAGAAAATGAAATGAGACAATAGAGCTGCAGCAATTAATTGATTAATGGTGAACTTTTAAATTAATTGCCAACTATTTTGATAAGTGATTAATTGGTTTGGGTAATTAAAAAAAAAATTCTCTGATTTCTATGGAAGTCCTAAGCGGCCATCATTTCAAATATTTTTCCCCCTGTTTTCCCATGATAACGGGATAATTATCTCGTGGTCTCGAGATAATAAGCCATAGCTGAATACAGGAGTCGGCAGATGCATTTCTTCAAGATAATTTCTGAAAACTTTCCAGTGTGACTGGTTAGCTCACTTGGTAGACTTCAAGTCCAAAGATTGACTCCTGCTCTAAATACATTTTATTCTTCTTTTTTGTGTGTTTTTTATTATCAGCAAAGTTGTTATGAAGAGATTCAGGGTAATCCAATCACACATTTCCTGATGGATATTTTAAAGGTTCCAAAATAGCCATCAGGATGTTAAAGTTACATAGATTCCCCTGAATGAGAAGCACAGGAATTTCCTCTGTCTGGGAAATGAAAAGTCCAGATAGATGAATGTGGACCAATAGGATGCACACAGTCCAGACACATGCTTTATTGTGAGCATGGGAAATAGTCTCTTCATAAGAACTTTGTTGAAGAGGATTATGAAAAATATTTTTTTTTACCTTCAGTGAGGATCAAACAGGCAACCCTATAACTAGGAGTCTTGTGCACTACCAACTGAGCTAATTAGTGACACTCAAGATCACACACTTAAGAAATGTTCCTGCTGACCCCCGTGTTAAACTACTGTTTTGTTATCTCGAGATCACAAGAAAATTATACTGTTATCACTGTAAATAACATTTGTTATCTTGAGATCTCAAGATAATTATCACGTTATCACGGGAAAACAAATATTTGAATTGATGGCCGCTTAGGGCTTCCATAGTTTCTCAGACTTAAATGTGAATATTGTTATATGAATATTTTCTGGATTCTTTAATACTCTATGACAGTAAACTGAATATCTTTGGACAAAACAAGACATTTGAGGACGTCATCTTGGGCTTTGGGAACAGTGATCAACATTTTTCACAGTTTTTTGGACATTTTTTATAAACTAATCAATTAACTGAGATAACAATCGGCAAATAATCATTACTTGCAGCACTAGAAGACACGTCATACATATTATATACAGTGAAGCTTTCAGATCTGTTCAAGGGAGATCCGGGAGCATCAACATAAAAATTGTTGTCCTAAAAGGTGAGAAGAAAGGTAGGCCAAATTTGTCTCCAACCTGTTTCTCAAGCTGCTGGGTGGTGACTACTTTACCAAGCCAGTAGTCATGGACAGTACGCACTGCACACAATTGCCCAAGATTTGTTAACTGTGTATCTGAATTTTTGTTGGTTGTTGCTGGCAGTCAGCTTGAATATTAAGTTTGTGTTTCAGTATAATGCAACTGTCAGCAAGAGCCAGACTGTCCTATATGCTAACTACTTACAACAAACAAGACAATAACAATTATAATAATAATTTGTCTCTCAGTCAAGTTACAACTCTGAACTAATGCAAGGTGGAAAGCAGTGGATCAACACTTTTGACTACAAAAATATTGAATGGCTGGGGCGACTGGGCATCGTTTAAACAGTATTTTACATTTGAAAATGTATAAATGGGACCTGGGGGAGTCGGTAGAAGAGATACAGCCAGAATCAGATGCAGCTCAGATCCTAATGGAACAGTTGTTGCTCCACCAAATGGCCCAGCAGATTGGCCCACAGTCTTAACAGACTTTATAAGGACTGAGTTAATGCGCAGAGGTTCCTTCTAACCAGCACTGGATTTTCCTTACTCTATTGCCAAGTCTAGAAGAGGTTTACATTCAGGCTCATTAGAAAGACAGACTGTTTTATTAAAGAAGGGATGATTGCATTGAGAGCACTGTGGTGTCAATAGTGACTATGCAGCAATCGCAATTTGTTTACATGGCTCAAGAGTCAGGTAGGAGGGCCCCATGGCAGAATTTGCTTAGGGCAAAAGGGAGGTCAGGACCGGCTCATGGCTTCTTCAAGGTATCACAAATTATTAACACACTTGATTCCACATGCTTGGTTCACTGTTACGCTACAGGTTAATCCAGTTGATGTGATGCATGGACTGCACTACTCAAAAGATGTTTCTCCAGAATGTGACAAGTGTTGCTCTGTTGCAAGATCACTATCACGTTGCATTGTCAGGTAACAAGTGAATTACCATCAGTAGACAGCTTGGTTCCTTATGGTCTTTGATCATGAATAAAATATGCAATCTGGCGAAACAGACTAAATTGCCCCACGTTTGACATGTAACACTAGCTGAGGATTCCACAAGCTACCATATCAAACTACACCTAAACTATCATGGAACAGAGTAGAACGTCCAGAATCACACAACATAATGCAGTAAGTCCTCTGGATGTTTACATTTAGCTTGTCTGGTCACAGATTGCAGACTGTCCTTCTCAAACGGTTCAAAATTAACAAAATACTGTTACTTCAAAGTGGTGCTGTTTTTAAAATAAAATATACATAGTCATACCCATATTTATTGTTAGTTGTTAGTTGGGGAACTTATGAGTGGCAGATTAAAATAAGATATATCCTGATTTTTAGTCCCTAGTATCAGTCAAGCTTATATTATTATACATAATGCAACTAAATAGCATGTTTTATCAGACCTTTCTTTTTGGTTAAATTCTCTTATTTTACAAAACATCATGGTCCAACTAAGGTTTTCTGTCAAATATTCCAAGTGTCAAGCCTAATAAATAAATAAACAGATATCTGCATAAGAATGCAGGATCTGTAGGCAAGGGACAAGATTTTGGTAACATTCAGTAGTAGTCAAGTTTGAGCAGTCTTTGGTTGCATGCAGGTAAACAGTCAGTGTGGAAAGGAAAAGAGGCGGAACCCATCGGCTATCGTCTGAAAAAATATTTAGCTTTTCATCAATCTAGGATAGAGGTTATCTTTTTATTAGCTTTTTAAAATGTATCTACATTCAAATCGTATTAAGACATTATAAGATGGGTTCTGCTATTGCTGATCGGACTGTAAACTACTATGGCTACACCGGAAGCCCCTAAAGATTGGCCATTGCCCCCTGAGGCTAAATCGTAGACAGATGAGAGCAGAGGAGTTCCCCTTTGAGGGAACTCGAACTGCGTCGGTGACGACACTATGGGAACACCTCTGGGCGTGGCAGGGCTGAAATAATGAATGAAACTACTCCAATGCTATTGGCGTTGCTAGAAGCAGCTAGAAGCTAGCGTGTGACGGCATAACTGGAGGCGTATATAAGCACGCGGCACACCAGACACATTAGCTTTTTTCTATTCAGCAGGCGCGCTGGCATGTTTGAGACTACTCAGAAGAAAGCTACCACAGTACGGAATTACCTGGAAGGAGAAGCAGAAGAGATGGCTGGTGAGCAGTTCAGGCAGTGTGTCTTTCCATGCCCGCGCTACATCATGGCTGGGGATACTCATGCCCTGTGTGTTTCCTGTCTGGGGATGCCGCATGCCCAGGCAGCTCTCGAGGGGGCTGCTTGCGGCCATTGCGAGGCCCTGCCCCTGAGGGTGCTGAGGTCCTGTGTGCCTCTTTTCTCCGGACACGGCCAGATGCGCTCTCCCCGTGGCTCGGGCCCAGCGGTCGCTGAGGCGACACGGTGGCTTTGGTCATGGGCCTCCCAGCGCGACATTTCCGACGGCATCGGGACTGCTGAGGCTTTTTCCTGTTCCTCGTCTGCTGGCTCCAGCTCCCCTCTTCCCCGTTCGGGAGCCCGTTTTTCGGCTTCTCCCGCTCGGGGTGTGAGCCCGGAGAGGCTGCAGCTGTCCGGCTCTGAGGAGCTGGATGTGCTCAGCATTTTGGAGGAGGAAGACTTCCGGGTACTGGAGCAACGTCATGGAACGTGACACGAGCAGTGGGCAAGCTCCAGCTTGATTGGCCGCAGCCCATGCCAGACACACAGGCTGCCAGTAAGCTGGATGAGTGCTTCCTGCAGCGCCGAGCGCCGCCTCCACGCCGGTCTCTGCCCTTTTTCCCGGATTTGCATGACAAGTTGTGCAAATCCTGGGGTAAGCCCTTCTCAGCATGTTTGACTACTCCCCTGCTCCGGGTTTATAGTGACGTCGCGGGGGTCAAGGGCTCTGGTTATGGGACGATGCCCCGGGTTGAGGATGCTTTGGCCAGCTATCTCTCACCCGGCCTTGCGTCGTCCCTTAAAGAGCCAGGGCTGCCTACCAAGCCATGTCGCGTGACATCTGCTCTGGTGGGCAAGGCGTACACAGCGGCGGGCCGGGCTGGTGCCAGCCTGCACACAATGGCAGTTTTGCAGGCATACCAGGCTGACATGCTGAAAGACATGGACTTGGGAGGAGGCCCCTCTGAGGACGTTGCTGAGCACCGCAGAGCCACGGACTTGTCTCTCCGAGTTACGAAAGAGACGGCCCGTGCCATCGGCCGTTCCATGTTGGCGCTGGTGGCCACGGAGCGGCACCTATCGGGCATCCAGGAGAGGGAGAAGACCTTCCTGCTCGATGCACCGGTCGCGGCCTCGGGCCTGTTTGGCGAGGCGGTGGACGCTGTAGTCAGCAGGTTCCAGCATGCCAGGACGCAAGGGGAGGCATTCCAGCAGTATCTCCCGTGCCGGTCTGGGTCCAGGATGGAGGCGGCTGCAGAGAGACGGTCCCAGCCGTCATCCAGCTCCTAGAGTGTCGCTGCTCGAGGTCCCCCTCAGCGCACCCGGGACTCGAGGCGGTACAGCAGGCGCTGTTATCCCGCCGTGTCAACGTTTGGGACGCGCTAGCCTCCAGCGAGCATGCGCCGTTCTGCCCGCCCCGAGGGGCCGCAGTCCGGAGGCGCTTGGGCTCACACACCACGGGTTTTCGGCAGGTTTTCCCTGGCGGACCTCCACTTCAGGATGCCGCTAGAGACCTAGGCATAAGCCCCGAGGGGCTGGTTCCCTTGGCGGATTTCGCAGGAGCTTGGCGGGGCCTTGTCAACATTTCCCGGTCCTGCGCACCGTCGTGGAGGGCTACAGGCTGCAGTTCCGGGTCCGCCCCCCCAGATTCAACGGGGTGGTCTGGACTGCGGTGCACTCAAAGCAGAGCCAAGACAAGAAGTTCGCTCTCTGCTGGAGAAAGTGGCCATAGAACTCATTTCCCCGCCAGTCAGGGAGTCCGGGTTCTACAGCCGGTACTTCATAGTTCCCAAGAAGGACGGAGGACTGCGTCCGATTTTAGATCTGCGGTCCCTTAACCAGTTCACTATCCCCGCCATCATCAGTCACATCCAATCCAAAGATTGGTTTGTCACGATAGATCTATGAGACGCATATTTCCACATCTCCATCCGTCCCTCTCACAGGAAGTTCCTGAGGTTCGCCTTCGGGGGTGCGGCTTACCAATATCGGGTTCTTCCGTTCGACCTAGCACTCTCTCCTCGCACGTTCACCAAATGCATGGATGCAGCTCTGGCCCCGCTGAAGCTCCAGGGCATCCGCATATTAAACTACATCGACGACTTGGCTCAGTCTCGGGAGTTAGCGGTTCGGCATCGAGATGTCTTCCTCACCCACCTTCAGCGTTTGGGGCTGCGGCTCAACGCAAAGAAGAGCGTGCTGACGTCCGCCCAACCGACTACGTTCCTAGGGATGGTGTGGGACTCAACGACGATGCGGGCCCACCTGTCGCCTGCACGCGTCGGGTCCATTTTGTCCTCGGTGACCAGAGTGAAGCTAGGCCGCACCATCACTGTAAAACACTTTCAGAGGGTGTTGGGTCTCCTGGCAGCAGCGTCCAGCGTAATCCCGTCTGGCCTGCCGCACATGAGAGCCCTGCAGTGGTGGCTAAAATCCAAGGGATTCTCCCCGAGGGGAAATCCGCTCCGTCTGATACGGGTTACGAGCAGATGCCTTCGTTTCCTGTCTGTATGGTTCCTGTCCCACGTCTGTGCGCCTGTATGCTTTGCCCCCAGTCGCTCTGCTCCCGGGGGTTCTGGAGCGGGTCCGTCAAGACGGTGTCAGTCTACTGCTGGTAGCCCCGTTTTGGCCGGCCCGAGTGTGGTTCTCGGACATAATATTGCTCCTCGAAGGCCCGCCACGGCAGGTCCCCCTGAGGAGGGACCTGCTGTCTCAGGCGGAGGGCCAGGTCTTTCACCCTTGCCCCGCCCTGTGGAGACTGTGGGTCTGGCCCCTGAGGGGGCCCAGTTCTTGGAGGCAGGCCTAACGGCGGGGACAGTCGAGACGCTGCTCAGCTCCAGAGTCCCGTCCATGAGAGGGACGTACAGCCTGAAGTGGAATGTGTTTGCCACCTGGTGTAGAGAACGGGTGGTGGACCCAGTTACCTGCCCGGTAACTATGGTACTGGAGTTCCTCCAGGACCGTTTCTCTGCTGGCCTTTCCCCATCCACACTCAAGGTGTATGTGGCTGCCGTGTGACACACCGACGCAGTGTCTCGTTCCCCTTCTCGGGGAACAAGGGTTACATACGTAACCCGAAACGTTCTGAGATTGTGTCAAGCCTAACTCAAGATAACCCAGATGAGATCATCAAGGGGGACCATTTTTATTTAACATTTAAAAGAGTGAGTTACCCCTTAAATTGTTGATTGAAATGGTCAAACCAAAACTTTCATTTGAAAAAGACATTCATAATTTAGTCTAGTTGGTTAGTTAGAACATTACTAAAACTCTTGCATGTGACACCATCAGTAAAATGCCTTTTTTTCAAAGGTTACATCTTGCCCTGCAGAATTTGTTGTAAAACGTACTTGGATTTCATGTGTCTGTCGTTCTTTTCTTATACACACAAATATCCCCATGCAGGGGGGAATACTCAGAAGCCTGCCAAAGACCAGTAGTGCAAGTTGAGTCATGTTGTTTTAATAGTGTGCAGGCAGGCAGACCGGGAGAGAAAAAGCACTCACCACATGGACAAATTGATTCTGCTCAACATCTGACAGGTGGTGGAACTTATAAGGACTGATGTCAATGAGTGATGAGACATGGCCGTGGTACGCACTGCAAACAAAGCAAAGGCCAGGGTAATCATAAACATCATAAAGAAATGGCTGAATAAAAGGACTTTCACCACTCATTATTATTTATCTACAACAATGAACAATGACAAGGCAGTTGCACTTACTTTTCCAGTGTGATGATGTCTTTGTGACCTGTGTACTGCCATGCTAGACGAAGCGCCAGGTCGTTGGCTTCAGAGCTGTAGTTCAAAGGAGCAAGGGTTACTTTGAGTTACTCAGTCACCACAGAATACACAGGTGAAGCCATGGATATCACTGGCACGTCAGCCACCGTTTGATGTTTTACTTCCACGTATGAGGGCATATGAGGTGATACCTATGTATTAATACTGGTAATTAAATTTGCTTAATTATCTTTGAAGATAATGAGGCTATTCTGACCCTGAGACATATTTTCTTTACTTCTATAGCATGGTCAACTCGTCAACAAAACTGTTGATAACGAACTACCAGCATGATCCTGTTCTGGTGCCGTTGCCCTACCTGTGTGTTACTGTATCAAAACTTACACGTCATAAAATGCTTCTGGCATGTTAAACGAACTGTGCCAGTTTTGCACATAGAAAATGGAATCATGTTTCAAAACAACAGAGCTGGCAACCTGATTGGGAATACATCTTGTCCTTCATATTAACTTGTTTTTTATACACCATAAAGTATGTGGACAGACCAACACCCATGTGTGATTGTTAAATAATTAATCTTAACAGAACATTAGTATATATATATATTCTATATATATATGTGTGTGTGTGTGTGTGTGTGTGTGTGTGTGTCTGTGTATCCTCCTTGTCTTCAATGTACAATCTGACTGCACTTTTGCACTATTGTACAGATCTTAGAAAAATTAGCAGTGATAACGCCTCGTCAGGTTTACAACTTCTCTCAAACCATTTATTTCCTTGTGAGTGATAAATACTCAGCCTGGAATCAAATGCAAGCAAGATAATCCCTGTTCACAATGCAGAACTCCAGCAAGTGGTGTAAATAAGTAACTAATCAGCCAGACTGGTCCGATGCTGATCTGGTACTTTCACTTTCAGTGTTCAGTATACTAATATTATAGTTCCTAAATCAGGATTATTATCACACTTCATCCAGACCAGCAGGAGGCTTTTCCGAGGAGGATGATCCAGTGCAACAATTGTTTTACTCCCTTAAAACATATGTTGTTTCTTCTTGAGTACTTCATAGTCGTACATGTTTGGACTACACCCTTTTAATCTTACAATGTGCAGTGTTTTGTGCTTAACAGCTGTTTCCTGCATAACTTTATTGCTCATATTGAGTCCACCTCAAGATACAGTTCAAGTCATTAAGGTAGATATGAATAAAGACTTGAATCAAATGCTAATTTAATGTCAATGAAGTAACCTCCACTAATTGCCTCTACTGTGACTGCACTAACACCAACTGATGGACAGCCCGAAAAAAAAAAAGTCTGGCATACCCAGAGTTGACAAAGTAGCACACAGACAGCTTGTTGGGCAGGGTGGCCTGCAGCCTTTGAGCATACAGTACAAGGTTGTCATGTAAGAAACGTGAGTTGGTGTTGAGCAGTTCCATCTGCTGAGCTCCTGCCTTCACCACATCAGGGTGACAGTGGCCCACTGAGAAATGAATGAGAAGGTGCACACAGGATTAGAACTGGTCCTCACATTCAGGGCAAAAACTCTTTGCATCCTTAAACCATATGACCGTAATTTGAGCAAAACACACCATGACAACAATATTAAAGGCACATAATTGAGGGCCATATGCTGAAATTAAAGAGTGGTGAATGTGGTAGGCCAGAAGACATCCTGTTTTACATTGCTGCTTCTGCCTGTAGGAGTCACTCCAAATAACATGTACATTACATAAGACCTGTGAAGAGCAGGTAAGTTTGTCAAGTCATCCTGCTCATGCGTTGTGAAAACCACTCCTCAAATATAACATCTTTAACTTTGATTCCAAATTTGACACAAGTTGCCTGCATGTAAGACAGAACAACTATATGTGATTATGTTCTGTGTGAGTGAGTGGTGACATAAATGTGGTGTAAATAAAGATTTGATGTTCATATTTCTGTGCGTTTGCATGTGTGCGCTCATATATGTGTGTTTACCATGAGCCACATTGTTGATGCAATCCAAGTAGCGCTGTCCTTTTTCATCGTACATGTACTGGCCTTTGGCTTGCACGATCTTGATAGGGTCATGGCTGAAGAAAATCTTACAAGATGGCCTGCAAATAAGGGAATATTAATATTCCCATATGTGCAAACTGTGCCCTTCACTCTGTGTAAACCGTTTTTTTTATGTTGTACAGGGTTAATAAAAATAAATTAGTCAGGGTTTTATAAAAGCAATCATCAGCTGTAATCCAATTTAAAGCAAACAAATGATCTGCAACCTACAGATAAAATACAGTATGTTAAAGTCTGTCAAATCAAAATTCGAATCAAATTACAGTTACTTCTTTTACTTGCACTTATTGAATTAGCTGCTTATGTACAAATATATGAACTAGTTGATAAACAACAACTCATAGATGATATAATATTTGGTTTGATGTGGAACAAATTCTTGACATTTTGGTGTAAGAAAGTTTATTTCATGCTGCATCTAGTAGAAGTCTGTAGATAACAGACTTTAATAACGAAAGAAGCCATTCTGTCCTTTTTCTATAAAAAAATATAGAGTTTCCTTAGTTGGAAACTTCGTGGCGTTATATAAGTGAAGACTGTCGGTTATCTTACCCAATGTGCTTCTTCCTCAAGTCTATCGTCTTCTTTTTCTCTATTTGTTCCGCAGACATCCTGATGTGTTCCATCTGGAGGACGAGGTACTCGTTCCTTCCCACCGACTCGAAGATTAGCTACATCAGCGCAAGCAGAAACAATCCGGCTTTATACGCACGCGCGCGCACATGCGGACAGTACCTCACGAAAACCTCAGAGCCGCAGCTCGCGCAGCTCTCTCGCTAGTCGGACTTTTACAGCTGACAATTTGCAGATGAGTCGAGGACAGCACCTCGTAATACGCCTCGAGCTCTCTAAATATGCTATTTTAGCCATTCATTTTGTTTGTTTGTTCTCAGAGATAACAGATTTCTATGTGTCTGTATCTTCATCAGCAAGGATCATGCGTAAAACTATGCCATAAGCCTATTGTTATATGATTTATGCATGAGGCTGATTCATTATTAATCCACTTAATTAAAAAATACGGTCATGCACCGACGCTATCCTGTCGTCACCATGGAAGCTTGGCGGTGCAATATCAAGCCTTTTACGCTTTTACACTTTCGCAAAGATCAGAAAGAAGCGATCGTTCTTTAGTCTGCGCGTCGAGTCGCCGTGATTCGTTAAAGATAAAGCACCAGGCGAAACACTGGAAAGACTAACAGCAAGTAGGGCAATTTGGGGGAGTTGTGTGAAAACATCGCTTCTTTTCGTGAATGTTCATGGACCACTTTGCCAAGTTTCAGCACATGTTATAACAGATGTGCTTACCCAGACCCGTAAAAAAACAACAGACAGCTCCCCCTGAAGGCTTCGCACACTGACAGTAAGGCACATTAACAGGTAGAAACTAATAAGCTTGCAGACTGTGTGAACACCTGTTCTACAGCTGTTTGAGAAGTATGCTTTGTTGTTTATTTGTGTGGCGCAAGTGGCCTACATTTAGAGTAGCCCACTGTTTTGAGGTAGGCCTGTCCGTATTGTGGCCTACTTGAGTGTTTCAGTTTTATGGCAGGCATTATGCAGGTGGGGTGTAGTTTACATTTACTATTTTGAATTACCTGTACTTCCATTTTATGCCCATTTATACTTCTACTTCACTACAGTTTAGAGGTGAAATATTGTACTTTTTACCCCACTACATTTATTTGACAATTATAGTTACTAGTTGTTTTATTTTAATATCTAAAAATATTAGTTGTTATATAAGGGATGCATTGCTAGCAAAAAAAATCCAGCTTTATAGAAAATAGTTCAAATAAGCTCCAACTCTCCCAGCTACATTATTAAAAACTGCTCACACATGAAGACATGCTAATAATCTAATAATATGATGGTACTATAACACTAACAGACAGGGTTGGACCAGTAATCTGTCATACTGGGCAAATGCCTGGGGGGCTGACGCACCTTTGGGGCCGGTGTAACGTATTATGTATTTATATAGGCCTAACCGTTTTTAAAAAACGGTTAGGCCGTTTTTTAAAAACGCCCCCCACCCCACCCCCAAAGAGACATCTTTAGACGGCTTCCGTCAAATTCGCGAAAACAACGGATATGTTTGCTACCTGGCTGCAGTATCCGACGTAGCGCAGGCACAGGCACTTTAAGGTGTAAAGGAGAGCCGTGGCCACTGACAGGCAGAGGATGAGGCGGAGCTAAGTGACAAAGTGACAGGGTCAAGGGAGAGAGAGAGCAGGAGGAGAGTGGAGGTGAAGCGGTAAGCTTGGAGTAGTTCAACCTGTTGGGAGGGAGCAGGGAGGGAGGGTCACTTACACTGGGGACACGTAGCCACCACTTTTTGAAAGCATTTGTTAAAAATGTTCTGAAAAATAGCTTGCACCAAGAAATGTTAATGTTAACAAATAAAAATGCTATGAAAAAGATTTATTTGCACAATAAGCCTGTGATGCAATGTAAATATAGAAGAAAACTGTGTTTTCCAAAAAAAGTAACCTAGGCTAAAAAATAATAAGCTACTGATTACTGCATTATATTCTATTATATTTTTATATTCTGATTTGTCACCTGCCACCTGAATTTTGTGCTTCCCTGGTGCAGAAAATGTCTCAAGAGAATGTCCTCAGAATGCAGGAAATTAACAATTTCATCAAATTGTAGGCCTATTGAAATATATTCTTATCTTGTTGTCATGACCCCAATCTTGTGCAATGTTACGGTTACGTCTCATGGACTAAGTGTTTCGTCACACCCCTAATCTGAGTCCTCAAATGGAGGGATGGTGTCTTGGTGAGGGTGTCCAACCGATTTTGGTGGGCCGCCTGGCTAAAAATGCTAGGGCCGATTTTGTCATAGTTTCCATACATGCAATATACACTTATTACAAGCTACAAGCTGCAAGTGTACATACATATATTTTCTGACTTTTAGCTGCTAGCAGAGAACATAATATTCTGTGATCGAAGACAGTGAATGGATATTGAGGACTACCAATAAAGGCAAGTTTTTGTTGGATGTATTTAAAAGACTGTGTTTATTTAGCTCCAACAGTACAGTCATATGAAATGTCATCTTGAAATATAGTAGTGTGTGAACACAAGGGTCTGTAAAGAAATGTCAATCAAGTGGGTGGAAACAATTAATAATACAAAAGCATAACAGCAACTGAACATAAACCACAACCGAAAAAGCAGTTTCAAATTCAGGTTTTATGCATAACAAAATGGATTTTGCTTTGCATTTTTGTTCCTGTTTTTATTTTGGAGAGTGTGTGGCAGTATGAGTATTTCAGTTGCGGTACATTGAGGAGTATAAATGTGAAAGTTCACCAGTGTCTTTTGATGATGAATGAGACGCTAGCACTTTTAATCTGAGGAGTTAAGTGAGGCTCATGGGTGTATGCTGCTGTTTCTTCAGAGGAAAACTTGACTCAGAGCATTTCTGCAACATAGACAAATGCACAGTCCTTTTGGAGCCTATCACCAGCTTTGCTAATACTGATATGGAATTAACTGTTTGAAATGTTTCGGCACTTCTACTGATAGCAAAATAAACTACATTTGAAACTTTAACATGGAAACACATCAATCAATTAAACAAACAAAAAGAAAAATTCAATCAAATAAAAAAATTAGCTGCACATGCTAATGATACAGCAACAAATACTGTAACAAAGGCTGGAAATCAAAAATAAAATACAAAAAAAAACATTGCAAAAACTTAAAACAGTAAATAAGAAGTATTGGAAATAACATTTTAAAACATGAGTGAAGGGACGATATTTGAGGAAATGTTCAAACCAATCAAAAGTTCAGAGTCAATGAAAGGTCTGTCTTTACATTTGTTTCATTGTCTCTTCTGGTAAATAAACATTTTCTCTCCAGGTAGTGGTATACAGGGTAGCACGACTGAACAAATGGAGCTATAGAAATCACAATTGTGTGATACGTCCGCTGCATTTGAGGCTACACACATTGACCAAAGTATAAATTGCACTTCTTGTCAAATGAGCACACATTTTAACAGTACATTAATAATCCACTATACATATATCAAACTACATTCAATGCAAAGAGAGAGAGAGAGAGAGAGAGACAGAGAGAGAGAGAGAACAGAGAAAGCGTGAGAAAAAGCTGTGATATTTAACGTTATGCTGTTGCATTAGCTGGGCCTTTCAACATTCAGGCCATCAGTACTTTGTTGTCATAGTTAGCTTTTTTCACACACAAAATGAAATAAAAACAGATGTATTCCACTGTAAGGCCTATAAGCTGACTTAAATGCACAGTTAAGTCACACTGGTCTGTAATTTGTAAAAGACCACCTTCCTTCACACGACACCATTTGCAAAACTGTTACGCGATGCCTTTATCATGATCCACAATTCTTCATAATATCAACAGAGACACAGCGGAAACCGACATCAAAAGCCAAAACAACTGAAAGGAATGCTGTTTAGAACCAAAATGCCTTCATTTAAGAAATATATAGAAAAATAAATAATGTACCACTTAAAAATACTGGGACAAATACACAAATATATGCACAAAAAAAACTTTAAATTGTTACATACATAAAACCCCAACAACAATAAAGAAACCTGTTGTGTAGTTCTTGCCACTGGCAGAATGCATCAGCTGAACTGTTGTTGACCTGCTATCAGATAGCACCATTATAAGCTATACAGATGTGCATCCAATCTTTAAAACAATGAGATGAGTTGTATAATCAAACAGAAACCATACGGGAACAAATCTTCTTGAATCCACCTGTGGTTGTTGCTACATCACAACAAAAGGGTTTTTCACATCTGCCCTTACAGTAAGTCAATCATGCATATTTCTGATGCTAAAGAGAAGAAGTACTGAAAGTATCGCCTTGCATAGCACCTCCTATGTCAGAAGTTAATTTGACTATACGGAACATGAAAAGATGAATAAACTATAGTGAAAAATGAAACTAGTTTGGATCTGCTGCTCCATTTATTTGCTCCATCTGATATGGAATGTGACATAACCAGTTAGACTGTGGTGTATTAACGGTATTTGACCAATTCAATGTGTCCAGTTTAGCCTTTCTTGCACTGTAATACATGTTTTCCATATGTTTAAGACAATATATAAGGTGTAAACGAGTAGTGTAATGCCACTGAGATTGTTCTGTTGAACATAATTTCTCTTAATCTGAAATACCAGCTACTGTATGTTCAGCTAAATCCGATTGTTGCTTTGTAAGAGCTGAATGAAACCCGACCCTGAAAATTCATGCTTCTGATACACTCGCTCAAATCAATGCTTATTTTCAATGTTTAAGAAATCCATAAGTAATAAATTGTGGACATGCAGTGAACTGATAACACTGTACAAATAGCATCCCATACAACAAGTCCAGAATGAACCAGTAACATTTTTGTCACAATGCTGGGCGTGCTCTGCAAAAAAAACCCAATGAGCTTCTTCACAACCACCAGTAAGATCAGAGCCTGCGCAGCCGAGATGGATGCAGTCTCACTGCATGCTCATATGAAACTATAACCTACATATGCTATTTCAACATCTTGTAAAAAAACAATTCATATGAAAAACAGTGCGCAACATGCGTCTTTTCAATACTCCTGCCACCTTTTTACCAAACAAAGCTTACCCTTCTGAAACAAATGCCATTCCAGTAATTCAAAATATAATATAATGTTGTATTTTTGTGATAAAGGAATGAATAAAATCTTGAGGCACCGAAGGCTATTATACACAAAATACAAACAATGTTAAAGAATTTGAGCAAAAACAAAACAAAACAAAATAAAGAAAACATGATTGCATTCTGTTAACGCTCTCAGAAGACCCTTAAAGCGTTGCCCGTCGGGAGAGGCAGACGCTCCAGCTGATCTCTATGGAGTTTGATGAGACTCTTAGCGACTCTCCTGCAGAATCCACTCCCGTGCTCATAGGGGGGATCCCGAGCAGGCCTGTCAAATCTCAAATCCACGAGAGCCTGATTTGTTTTTCCGGTCGGTTGCAGCGAGCCTGCTAAGATCCCCCTTCTTGTCCGGAGATGCGTGGCTGCTGGGAGGCACCACACTGATGATGATGCTGAGCCACATGAGTGCAACAGTGAAAACCTGCCGATATCATACCCTCTGCAGGCATCACCACAATAAAGCAACAATAACCAACAGCTTTACTTTCTGGGGATTTTCAGGCTACCAGCCATGGCGTGACTCCCTTGGGAAGATTAAAGGAAAGCAGAAATTACTAATTCAGAGCTCTGGGGATGTGTTTTTTTATGTTAGTGTTGTTTTTCTTTTCTGCAGAAGCCATGACGCAACCACAAAACAGTGACATGTATGTACAATACATATAAATATAGTTTCAGTATACTACTCATGCTTTTGCAGGGTCAGCGGGTGCAATGTTCTGTTTGGCACAGTCTTCTTTTTTTTAGTCTTTTAGAAAATGGCGCTGCATGAATGGGTGGTGAGCTTGTTGAGACAAAACAACACGAAACACCTAGCGTTTGGTGTTAGAGAGCCAGTCCAGATCCCGCTCCTCCACTTCCTCCTTCTCTTTCCATGGCTTCCTTTCAACACCTTTGAATCTGGCCGGCTGCGATGCTCCAGTCTGAGCCATGCAAAGACTACAGAGACAAGTTCTGCCGCCAGCCAAGGATCTGAACGCCACCACGATGTGGATGTGAGAGAGCGGACACACATGTTTTGTTTTCCCCCCCCGGCGGTGATGTGAGTAGAAGCAGCTCAGGGTGTGAAACTCAGGACGGCTTTTTGTATCATTGTGCACACACGGTAGGACTTCTTTTTCTTTTAGACTTTTTTCCCATTTAAAAAAAAAACTATAAATACCATAAAAGAAGCATTATTTACAAACTCCATGCGTTTCAGGTTAGAGTGATCACTGCAAGAAAAACACAGGAGAGAAGAATGACATGGAGATGTTTTCACGTTGTTTCATGAGTTGTACAATCTGGTTTGACACAGTGAGACTTTTCAAACGTTGTTACGACTTCTTTAACAGAAAACCCATGCAAACATAGAGAAGCTAAAACACACATGAAAAAAACATGGACTGACAAGGAGTGAACAAAATATAAGGAGCACTTTCTATGTCCATTTAACATGAAAGTAAGTGAATCATAGTTCAAAAACAATGGTTTTGATCAGTGGTCGACTGATACAGGTTTTTCAATGGCAGATGCCGATATTTAGAGAGCAGGTATAATTCCATTATTCCATGCAGAGTATAATCTAATATACATGGTTATCTTCGCCAGGAACTTGCTGTCATTGACGAAAGAGAAACATACATTGGGGGTATGCTGTAGATTTCAGAAAGTGACTGGTGTTTGAGGGAGAGTGGGGTACAGTTTGTCATAATCATCATTCTCTACATTATAACAATATATATTTAACGCTACCCAGTAATGGTTTTAGCTTAGATTAGCTGTCATTTAGGAGAAAGGTGTTAACATTTACAAAAGATGATGGTGACTGAGGAAATTTAGGGCTCAAAACTAACTTTTTCACTACCTTCCCAAAACTCACAAGGTGAAGCTCTAACATCGTTCCACACAGCAACCACACTGACAAGGCAGATGTGACTGCAGACATTTTTTATAAATCGACCTCATGAGTACCGATGCCGATTATCTCAAAATGCCAGATATAGGCCTTGAATAACTGTCCCACCGATCAGTCTATCGCTAGTTTTGATTCCCCTTTCCAAACCTATTCCATAAACAGAGATGAAAATTAAGAATACAACCGATAATTTCACTATAGCTTTAAAGCATTTTACATATGGCCTTTATATACTGATCGCTCTCTAAATGTGTAGCTGCACAACTCAAGTCTGTCATATTACTCAAATATTCGTCTTACCTTCTGCCAGCACCCAGGCATTGGTAATCCATCTGGGCCCTGTTTAGAGAAGAGTAGCAGGGAAGACAAAAGCAATGAGGACTGAAACATGAAATGGGAGGATTGCTGTAAACACAGTGATTTAAAGTGTGATAAATGAGTGTATTTCAACCCACAAGAACACAATACAAATGTATGATGCATCCAATTAATAAGCCTATAAATCACACATTACCCACACTGCCTAACTGAGACATCATAGCTACATCCCCAAAACACATTCTGGCAAAGAAAGTTTTCACACAGACAAACTGCCAAATTGAGTACAATCAAACCAGAAGCATATGAGATTTCTTTCAGAAAGCTTAACTTGTCCACCTTAATTATTCTATTTCTTTTGTTTGTACATGGTGATTTCAAACTGACTGGTCAACATGAGCAACCTGTGTGCAGTCTACTGCTGTCTCACTGGAAACATTAAACATGTAGGGTTTCTGGGTTTTTCTGGGTATTGAAGTCTATTATAATGGTTGGCTTCATGTGGAGCAGCTGACTTGTGAAAACTGCACCAATGCAATTGCATTAACTTAAGTGTTTGCATCACTATGTCCATGTTGAAATACTGAAGTAGACGCTTTAGTGTCTACTTTAGGGAAGGAGATGTCAGAATGCAAAGTGCACAAACTTTCTCTGATTCATTGCACATGGTATGAAATTAAGTTTTTCAGAAGGATCTTTATGTAACAGGAACTTAACATGCAGTAACTACTGTACCACCCCAGAGATAGAAACTGCCTGTGCTTGTTTGCATGTCTACATTTCTCCATCCAATACATGGACATGACGTGTATCTCAGAGACCACTGGTCAGATTTTAATCAAAATTGACATTAAGTCTGCATCATTAATGCACGGAACATGTTTACTTTGCCTTGTTTTTAACTTAAAATCATGTGAAATCGCACATGTAATGACAGCTGCAAGAGTGTATTCTCATTCATGCAGGTAACATACAGATAGACACAGCTCATGCACATTGATATGCTGATGATTATACTCCCTGTTTTATTATAGTTGCCCCAAAGTTGAGTCTCAAACCAACAGTAAGCTGGGACATTTGGCATTTGGGGACACTATAACAAAATCATACAGAGTGCATCTTAAAATAAAGTAAATAAAAGTATATGTAATTTAATGAGATGACATTTGTGATATGTGAATGTTTTCTTACCTTCTCTAACTTATTTAATATACATACAGTCACTATGGCATTTCATAATGAGTTCTATTTATACCCACAGTGTTAGAACTACCATGCATTACACTGCATTGTGTCAGAAGCAGAAAGCATCATAAAAGCATGAACATAACAAAAAGTTCTCATCTTCAATAGATCTAGAGCATTAACCGGTTTAATATCTTGTTTGTCTCTTCTTGTTGTGGTCTGGCCCAATTGGTACAAATACAGGGAGGGGGAAAAGGGAGTTAACAGAGTAGAGGAGGGGTCCATGTGTCGGTAGCACGGGCATCAGTTAAAGGAGAGTGTGTTAGCATCAGGTTAAAAAGTTAACTGGGTTCTTGGAGGAATCAGCTGGAAGGAAACATGATTTAAGCAGAACTTGTTTTTCAGTTTTAATTTAAGGTAAATGAAGGATTCAGTTAGAGGAATAGATTTAGGTATCAATCATATCAATAATCATATGTTTATTTTTCACTTATAATGATGTGTATAATCTAAAAGAGGCTGCTTGCGGTCAGGGAGTTAGTGAGTTATATGTTGGTGCATGTTGTTGTTGTTTAACAAATCATGAATGGAAAATGTAGTTGTGATTAAAATAAGGTGTTTATGATTGTCAAAGCTTTCAAGTCATGCGTGGTTTTGGTTTCAGTAATGGCTGAAGGTGAGCAGCATGCATGGGTAGGAGGCAGAGGAAAAAGAGAAATACTGTACCAATTGGCATGGGGCATCCAGCCCGTCCAGACCTGGCTGCCCTGGTTCCCCCTTTTCACCCTTAAATCCCCGGAAACCCTGTTTGCAAAGATGACCTAGGAGTGTTACTGGGAGAGAGGTGGATAGCCCTTAACCCCTGCATCCGTCCACTACGACGGACACAAAGGGGGGGAGGGCGAGGGACGAGCTGCCCTGTGAGCTTGCTGATACCACAATCCAGACCAATTATATGTTTTTCAGCATTTAATGGCATGTTTTGTGTCTGAATTGCAGAGTTACAGGAAAGTAATAGACTCTTTATTTCAGGTTGCTGTGGTCTGATGGAAGCCGGGTATCTTTTTAGCCACAGGGTGCTCATCCTTGTTTGGGACAACTGCTCTACACGGCTGGGAGGCGATTTCCAGCTCGCAGTTGGGACATACCAATGGGCAGGGTGCATCTAATCCAGGGGCACCCTGTTCTCCTTTCTCGCCCTTAGGCCCTTTTTTGCCCTTCTTTCCCTTCTCCCCCTGTGGATACAACGGTTTGGTCAAGTTAACATCATTTTTTTAACGTCTGGGAAATCACTTCTATTAGGAGGGGAGTGATTAAAAAGGGAGGCTATGGCTCACAAAGGAGACAGAGACATGGTCAATGTTAGATAGGAGGGGATATCAGACAGTATTCTAAAAACATTCCTCAGGACAGTGGGAGGACAAAAAAGGGGAATAGTACAGTAGGAAGGAGTAAAATACAGAGCTGATCGCCAAAGGGGGTGTCAAGGGCACAAAGGATGAGAAAGAGTAGCAGGGAAAAAACCTCCAGGAGGACAGAATAAAGTCTACTACACACTGAAAATGTTCAAACTGTATCCCTTCATATTTGGGTTGGAGTTAGTCTTCTATGTCATTTAGTGCATGCATGGGATAATAACAATATACAGGCTGAAACAGTTCCAAAAACTAAAGAAGAAGCTAGCTGGTACATAGTTATGCTTTCAATGGTATGGATTTGCAGCAAATTGTACTATACTGTATTGTGTGCATGCAAGTTTTTTCTAAAACGCATTAGCACTCATAACTCACAATTAAAAGAAGCTTTTGTAGTGCTTGTTTATTGCATTTTTTCAGAAGAAACATTTTCTTTGAACATCATTCAAATTCTGTCATCCATTATCTTTCAGATTCAGTGTCGGCCGTTGTTCCTAGAGACCCGGAAGCAGTGCTAGGATCTATTCTGTGTTGAAAAATGGTTGGTAAATACAGAGATTCAGAGAGACGGGAGCACGCCAAATGCAAAGTATGTTTTTCTTTATGTACCAAGGAATGGGATACAGTTTCTCAAAGACATAAAAGATCTAAGAAACACATTAGAAGTGTTAGTACGTGTGGAAACATACAGATTAAGCACTGGAAAATATAAACTACTTTATACACAGGCAAGGGAGAGTTATCAACAGGCTCAAGAACACATGGAAGTGAAATGTTTCAGGTGTATGTCCATGCATGGAAGCGACAGAAATAAAAACTGTGAATTTTAAGAGCCTGTTGTCAATGGACGTGTTTGGTCTAACATGTGGAAATCACTGTTTTGATGCTTCAGAATGAGATCTGACTTGTGATTTTGAGAAATGAGATGACAAATCATTCAAAAGTGGAGAACAAAAGCTGAACTGAGAGGACTGGGGATGACATTTTATGCAAAGGCAGTTTTATATTCTATGGAGTTCTTATCCGATTATTAAAATTCTCGTTGACGATTTCATCTCTCGAGAAAATAGAAATGTGGCAACACAGAGTTAAATGAGCATGTTCAGGATATCTGTAACAATATCATAAATTCACTAGGAAGCATAAAAAGATCCTATCAACCACTCTAAAAAATACACTAGAACTCAAGTGAAAACTAAACTCAGCATAAAACATTCAGTAAAGCAGCTACATAAAACACCTCTATATTTCCTGTCACTGTCCATTGACATCAGTCCTCTGTAGTGTTAGGGGGTTGGCAAACCATAATATCCTATCTACATCTACCTTTTCTCCTCTTTCCCCAACGTCGCCCTTTTCTCCCCTTAAGCCTGGCAACCCCTGTGAAAGTACAACTCCACTTAATTACTCTGTCTTTACTGTTGTTGTCCTGAAGGAAACACATCAGCATCAAGCTAAGGAAATCAGAAGCTGAAAGAGGGTGAAAAAGTCAGATGAAGTGAGACCGAGAGAAAGTGGAGGGATGTTCAACAAAGATAAATTCAGCATAAGAGAATCTCACTGCTGCTATATTTATATATATATATATATATATATATATATATATATATATATATATATATATATATATATATATATATATATAAACAATATGTGGCTTTATAATATAGAAATAATAATACATAATACACAAAACATCAAGTAAACTCTTATCTGTACTATATATATATAGAATATGAAGTGACGTAGTAATATGATTGTAATTTAAGATTTGTGCATTTTTAGAGTTTTGACCACACTATTTCTACACTGGAAGAAGCCATTTGTTTCAGCGTCACATCACTTATACTGCTGGCTTTCTTGTCTCTCTACCTTCAGAGAAAACTGAAACTGAAGTTTATGACACTTACGTCCAGGCCTGGTGTTCCAGCAGCTCCCTGCAAATGAAAAACATTACTTGTGTCATCATTACATAGTGACAAATGCTGACATTTGACGCTCAATCTATTTATTATTAGCATTATTGTTGTTGTTGTTGGCAGGGTACTATATAGATATGAGGGGATCTGGGAGGGTACTGGGAAGATATGAAGTTTGATGTTGTGTGCTAATGCTTTGTGTTTTTATGTGGACACTAGGAAGAATAGGTGCTTCCTTGGTAGCAGCTAATGGGGATCCGAATAAATAAATAATCAGAACTTCTCAAAACCAGAATGTGAGAGCATGTCCAACCAATGGGAATGCACCGCCTATAATTAATTTCAAGATATATCATCACATGTGGATACATTATTTCATAGAATAATTAAAAACAGTACTGATGCCCACTTTAACCAAAATCTAGAGGAGATACCTCCTTACATCAAATGTGATTAGATATGTGTTTGTAGAATATGTTACCATTTATTAGCCATTCCTAACTTTAAAAAATGTAAATATCACACAATCCACTGCACGTGTGACGTCAAACTTACAGGTAGTCCATAAGGTCCCCTTGGTCCTGGCTCGCCTTGTGCTCCTTTCTCACCCTAATACAAATGAATTACTGTTGCAATCTCATGAATTATACAGAACACAGTGACTTTAAAAAGGAGCCAGTGCTAAAACACCCCAAACTAAAGTTAAAGTGTACTGTAACCTTAGTCTGATATAAGGTAAAAAATGAAATGTTGATCTTACTATGTCACCCTTTGGCCCAGCTGGACCAGCTGGACCTGAAGGCCCATCCATGCCCTGCAAAGAATAGCGTTATAAAGGTGAGTTTCATTGGATTATAGCACTATTTCAAGTTGATTTTTCTAAACAAATTTGAGATGGAACGCAAAAATCATGTTTAGCATCCACATTTGCACAATATTCCCATCCGGTTTGACCTACAACCAGCACACAGAGCTGCTGCTAGTACACGTGCATTGGCCACAAAGGACATATACAGTACAACACTGCTGATTAATGTATGAGTGTGTGTTAATGCTGAGTTAATGCAACACGGGACAAAACGAGAGCCTTGAAATGCCTGCTGCAACACCTTTTGTGTAGGGTCGCTATCCTGAGAATTAAACTCAGTGTGGCTTGATTCAACTCATGAGACCTACAGTATCTCACAAAAGTGAGTACACCCCTCACATTTTTGTAAATATTTGATTATATGTTTTCATGTGACAACACTGAAGAAATGACACTTTGCAACAATGTGAAGTAGTGAGTGTAAAACTTGTATAACAGTGTAAATTTGCTGTCCCCTCAAAATAATTACACAGCCATTAATGTCTAAACCGCTGGCAACAAAGGTGAATACACCCCTAAGTGAAAATGTCCAAATTGGTGTCAGTATTTTCTGTGGCCACCATTATTTTCCTGCACTCCCACAACCCTCTTGGGGTTGTTATCATGGAATACTGCCCTGCGGCCCAGTCTCCAAAGGGAGGGGATCATGCTCTGCTTCAGTATGTCACAGTACATGTTGGCATTCAAGGTTCCCTCAATGAACTGTAGCTCCCCAGGGCATGGCAGGACTCATCCAGCCCCAGACCACGACACTCCCACCACCATGCTTGACGGTAGGCAAGACACACTTTATACACTTTGTCTTTGTACTCCTCACCTGGTTGCCACTACACACGCTTGACACCATCTGAACAAAATAAGTTTATCTTGGTCTCATCAGACCACAGGACGTGATTCCAGTAATCCATGTACTGTGGTCTGCTTGTCTTCAGCAAACTGTTTGCGGGCTTTCCCTTTAGAAGAAGCTTCATTCTGGGATGACAGCCATGCAGACCAATTTGATGCAGTGTGTGGCGTATGGTCTGAGCACTGACAGGCTGACCCCCAACCCCTTCAACCTCTGCAGCAATGCTGGCAGAGCTCATATGTCTATTTCCCAAAGACACCCTCTGGATATGACGCTGAGCACGTGCATTGAACTTCTTTGGTCGACCATGGTGAGGCCTGTTCTGAGTGGAACCTGTCCTGCTGAACTGCTGTATGGTCTTGGCCACCGTGCTGCAGCCCAGTTTCAATCTTCTTATAGCCTAGGCCATCTTTATGTAGAGCAACAATTCTTTTTTTCAGATCCTCAGAGAGCTCTTTGCCATGAGGTGCCATACTGAATTCTTGAATTTAACATCTTGAATTTAACACACCTGCTATCCATTCACACCTGTGACGAGTGACATGACACTGGGGAGGGAAAATGGCTAACTGTGCCCAATTTGGACATTTTCAATTAGGGGTGTACTCACCGCCAGCGGTTTAGACATTAATGGCAGTGCAGTTGTCACATGAAAAGATCAAATCAAATATTTACAAAAATATGAGGGGTGTACTCACTTTTGTGAGATCCCGTAGCTAAGCTGTGAACATCCAACAAAAACTTACATAACTTTCTTTTCAATTACAATGAAATACAATAAAAAAATGGGACGATGGTGGTACATCATTTCAGGAAAAGGGAGGACTGTTCATGGAGGGTGAGGGGGAGAAAAGTAGGCAGAAGTTGGTTGATGAAGCCTCTCGGTCACATGACACTCACCCTAATTCCGGGCTTGCCGTCCAAGCCGGAGGCTCCCTGTGTGGTTATGGAGGTATGAGTGACATGAACAAGGCGGGATTAGTACCAGATGAACACTGTTATTAGGACAGGTTGATGGCAGGGTTTACAACAACTAAATTACACTGTGTGTTACAGGGAGGTCGCAAAATGAAAATGAGATCAGAAAATGAGAAAGCCATATTGACACGCGCACACACACACACACACACACACACACACACACACACACACACACACACACACAAACAAAAACAATGCGGCAACGAACAACAACAACAAATCGGACAGGGCTACAATAGAAATGAGAGATTCCTATGGATGTCTGAAGAAAGAGTAGGGCTTTGTGGTTGGAGGTATCCCATGGTGCACGGCTGTACTCACAGGGAGACCCAGTGGTCCACGGTCCCCTTTGTGTCCTGCTTCCCCTCGCATACCCTTCGCACCATGCAAACCAGGTTCCCCCTAAAAAATAAACAATAAAAGGACACAAAGGAAGTAGGGGAACATAACTAGTTTGCCTGCAATTGTACCTGTGTCTGTCTCTCTTGTGTCTTTGTTCCTGCCTTCTCCTAACATCCTTCAAACAAGTAGTAAACCTCTTTGTACTTGTGACTTCCCCTCTTTGCTTCTTCATCTGCGTACCTTACATTTACTGCTGCTTTATGTGTGTTAATTATAGTAAACTCCTTTAACTGTTATCTTCTTTGTCATTAGTAAAAAAAAGCATTGTTGAACAAAATGGTACTCGTGCTATTTTAATGGGAAATCTAATTCACAGACTAATTAAAACTACAGTAATTCTACAGGGTTTTACAAGAAATCACAAAGAAGCATCATTGGCACATTAAAGAATCTAATAAATTGGCAGTGTTGGGAGTTACAAAAGTAACACAATTACAGTAATGTATTGCTTTTTGCTGTAACGCAGTAGTATCACGCATTACTATAAAAAAAACGGTAATAATACACCCGTTACAATCTCAGTAACGCGCATTGCAATGCATTTTAACCCGAAATTAAGTATGGTATTTTGTTTCAGCACAATCAGACTGGCAGGGTGCAAACTATGGGGGAGCTTGGCTCCTCTTGACAAGACGACTAATAAATGCTTCTACACTTGACTCTCACCAGAGAGCAGTGGTTACTAGGACTAATAAAAAGTTGCAGCCTCGGTTTAATTCCAGTAACAATAACCAAAACGTGAAGTGTTTGCACTTTTACTATCTTGCTGAAATTTACCTTTGGTCCAGGGAAACCATGGGGGCCCTGAAAAAAGACATGGGAACAATATTAGTTTATTTTATACAACTAAACCAAGCTTCTGCCTTTATTTTATTAATATTTTGTGATTAATTAAGCTTTGGGATGTTTGTAGGCACTGAGACTTTTCAGAAAAACTCACCATGGGTCCTGGGGGTCCATGGGGCCCTGGTGGCCCTGGAACACCGCTGATCTGCAAATATGAAATATATTATTACTAAATCGTGACTGTGCAAGGTGGTGAGAATTTTAATGGATTTTCACATTAACAGTAAAACACATAATGGTATGAAGGTTTGCAATGAACAGCATCTGTAATTCAAGTATGTTTATGGCATTTATGGAGTCATAATAAATGTTTTTAATGTGACTTACTGAAGGACCTTGAGGACCTGGTAGACCTGAATCTCCCTTGTCTCCTTTAAACCCATTGACACCCTAAGGAACAAAAGCTTCATGAGATATGTGGTGTTTCTCTCTAATAAGATGGTTTATAAGGTTCTCATGACCATAAACAAAGCTTTTTCAGAGGCTTTATGTTAGGTAATAGTTAGACTATACTAAGAATGTAGATTCTTACAGGTAGGCCGGGTAAACCAGTTGAGCCTTTTTCCCCTGAAGCTCCAGGCATTCCCATGTCTCCTTTTGAACCTTTGTAGCCCTGAGAGGGGAGGTCAGAAAATATACATACTGTAGAGGTTTAAAAAGGAAGTACTGTATATTAACTTTTCACACTGTGGACATACAAACTGTAAGATGTATAAAAGGTCTGCGGTCTGCTTATTCCTCTGAGAAAACCCTCAATTAATAACCGCATCAATATAACATTATTTAAGTAATGTTCTTAATTCTCCATAAACCAATTCAAAACTGAACTGATCTAAACTTGATTATATGTAACGAACTCACTCTTTCACCATCCAGTCCAGGGAGACCGGGCATGCCACGATCCCCCTGAAAGAGGATAAAAAGACATGTCAACATTGTTCAAACACAATAGAAGTGCAGGTGTTGCAATGTTAAGGGCCAGAAATAGAGTTTACCTTTATACCCTCCGGTCCCATTGGCCCGGGAGGTCCAGGAGGACCCTGAACACAAAGAAAGACACAGGAGGAGAATAAATAAGAATTACACTGATTATATTTAATCAGCAATGAAACTGACCGTCACAATGAAATTACTTGCAAACAACACAAAAAATGTTAGCAATCAGTTATGAACTATGATGCTCAACTGAAAGATGCATGTCAAAGTCAAAAACATGTTAGAACATATGGATATATAAATATCATCACTAACAGATGAGAGAGTTACATATTTTGATGTTGCTTTTTTCATGATCACATTGGAAGTGAACCATTAATTTCATTCAATTTCCATTTGTTTTTGGGGGGATGGAAGCTGTTCATACTGTGTGTTCACACACATGAGCCAGTGATTTGCTGCTAAATTCTGCAGACAGCTTCAGGATGAAAGACAAATGAAAGAAAGATTTAAGTGTAAGCTGATTTTTGGTCCTAAACAAGTATAATTTCAGTTCAGTATGTGTGACGTGTTTTTTAAAAATGGAGAGTCAATTATACACTTGTCTTAAGTACCTTAAACACTAGAATGATGCTAGAATATGTGACACTAAACAAGCGAGTTTTGTACCATGCTAACAAACTAAAACAAAAAATAATCTAAATAGTTGTGTAACTAAAAGTTGTGTTTTTATAAACGAGGGTGATTTCTCTAGAACAGTTTAGTGCAGTATTTGTGACACTAAACATGCAAATTTTCTACCATGCACTTTCACTGAGTAAGGCACAAATGATCCTTCATGAAGTTTTTGCCTGGAATGTTAATGATATAATTACCTATATTTAGTTTTCTATATCTTATATACTTAAATGTAATACTTGGCTGGTGACAACCCTCTACTTCTCACTTCCTCTGCAATGTGTAGTTTTTCTATCCTGGAATACTACCTGGCTCCACATTTGCTGTGTGGACACTTTATTATACATTAATTGAACACAGTAATTTGGGAATATACAACAAGCAGACAAATTGAAACAATGAAGGTTAGCTTAAAACTAGACTTTTAACAGAGACCCTCTTTAAGACAGGGCCTGATGATTAGGAAATAAAGCAGGACCCAACTTAAGGTCTTATCATATCCGTCAATATTGTGCTTGATGCATATTGCCAAGCAAATCTGCAGTTATATTAACAAAAACCAGAGCCTTGGAATTCTGGACCGGCCTCAACCAAAATCACTACTGCAGTGTATGACTTTGACCAAAAATGGACTGACTGAGTTTTGGAAAAACCCCTTCTCAAATATTTTCTCATGATGTTGTTTTAAAGGCTGTTTTAATAACATTCAGGGAGACAACCAGCAGCTCAGGCATGTTGTAGCGTTGATCACACAAAAAGCATAAAAACAACACTGAACGCTGCTTTGTTCACTGTTAACACACGTTGGGCTGGGAGAGGGAGCACAAATACAACAAGGCAGGGAAAACCAGTAATGGCTTTGGGTTGGGCCCATGCGAGGACAAAGATGAATCACTTGTGGAGATGACAAATATACACAGAACACGCAGGTCCTAATTACCGTTACTGTAATAGTGGTAATCTTCTGCGGTTGGCCAAAGGATTGGAAATGGAGAGGATGTGAGAGATAAGATTGCAGAGGTCATACAGGAAACATTTGTGTCAGCACATTTCTGCACAGATACACCCTCTAAATTAGTTATTTATTAAAGAACAGACGTTAGCCTTTTTTTTTTTATCTGTAAAGAAAGTTGAGGGCATTGCACTTTAATTTAAGGAATACATTTTGCATTTTCATTTGAACCATAGATATAGGAATTTGAAAATGTGAGGCGAGTCCATGAAATGACCAAATCATGCAGCTTATGGGAGAGTTTTAAACACACAACATGCAAAAATAGAGCACAATTTGCAGCCTTATGTTGTAAAAAATATTTAATCTGCCTCTATTTGGCTCTCTTCAGTGTGGTTTAAGTATGTATAATAAAACAAAACCATGTGGGTACAGCTGTGAAAATTATTTTAAAACAGAATCACTAAGAGCAGCAACAGATCTTCCTGCAATGGAAGTATGAATGTAACTCAGTAGAAACAGAGTTGCAATGTAACATATATTTTATAAAACAATCTACAACATGGCAGAGGGTAAATTGTTCATTAGATAGAAGTTTGTTAAGTTTCACTTTGCCATCTAGTCTTGCAGATGCAGGTGTTTTTGAAGCAACAACAATGAGGGAAAAGAGCTGAGTGAAGAAATGACTCGTCTGACCTGTAAAGCCTCCTGAATGTTTCCATTGTAATCGATGATTTCAGTGGCTCCTTGGTCTCCTTTCTGCCCAGGTGGGCCCTGCACATTTAAACACATGTTCTGTCATGCTGCACACCTGATTTATACATCAGAGAAATATTAGACCAATATCAGTGTGCCCCTTTTCCAAAAAACTGCCATGGTTTGACTGCTGCCCCCTGGTGGTAACCAATGTGTGGTTACACTGACAAGCAGCTAATAGCAGTGCTGAAAGAAGGGGAATTGATTTTCTTGAATATACTTGCTTACCCTCGGGCCAATGGATCCCAAGTCTCCTTTATCCCCAAGCTCCCCCTAATGTGAGCAGACAAACAAAATATATCAAAGAATTGCCATTGCTTTGATAACTACATTCTCATATGTGGGAAGCTATAATGGTCTCAAATAATTCCACAGTGTAAAAAATGTGGAATATGGATTAAATGTTTTTAAGTCATATACCTCATAATTATGGTGCAACAAGTTCTAGTATTTATCTAGTATAGTATGGCACATAAAACTACTTTATGTGACTTTTAAGTATTATTTTGAAGAACACAATGCACAATGCAAATGAATTTGATTTAGTGAGATCACATGAACAAGTACAACACCAGTAACAGCCAAAATAATACTATTTCTTCTATGAATTGCTAAACGCCCACCAGCAGTGAATTCCACTTACAACTCTGCAGTTTTAAATGTTTGCATCTGCTTACTGTTTGTTTGCAGCATTTTATTTCCGGAGAAAATGTTATGTTAAAAAAAAAAAAGAGGCTGATGTGATTTCCACAAGTACATGAATTCAACACAGCGCTGAAGGGAGGAAATCCAATATCTGGATCACCTGTTAAATCTAATTAGGGGATCAGCTAATTAAGACAAAGTGTTCACGAAATTTAAAGAAAACATTTCTGCTGTGCTCACCTTTGACCCTTTAAGACCAGGTGTGCCAGTCTCTCCCTGGGAACCCTGCCACAAGTAAGAAAACAGACGGCGAAAAGAGTCATGGTTTGAGGGACACTATAAAAAGGAAAAGCTAAGTTCTTGAGCTATAAACATGAAATTGACAAAAAAAGATAAAACAAACTCTCTTTATGGGTTCAATCCAAATTCATCATAGAAAATGCAATGCATTTTAAACGCACAATTCTCAAAGGAAATATCATCAACCACTCGTACTCCTCCCATGAGAGCAACACAGTCTGCTTTACTAAAATAACCAGCTTTTAATATGCCATAACTGCCAAGCGAGGGAGAAAGTGTTTATTTGAACTCTGGCACTGATAAAGCAGGGGTTTCACGTTTGGGGTTTCTAATAGGATGTCAAACAGATCTGTGGATCGTCTAAGTTTAGACTGGAGCTTAAGCTACCTGATGGGTCAGCGCCAGACATAAACAATGGTAAAGTCATTTATATTTTGTTTACTTTATGCAGACTCCAGGGAAAGCCTTGGACTTATTACAAGGCTGTAATGGTTTAGCCGTCTCTCTATGCTGACATAACTGAATATTCGGGAATGCATTCCGACTTTTTCTTATTTAAATATCTGGGAACTTTATAGTGTGTCCCTAAATCAGTAAGGCTCTAGATGGCAGCAAAAATAGATAAATTACGTGGGTGAAAATTAAATAGTTCACCACCATCATACTTCCTACACAGCTGTGAACAAGTAGGGAGCTTTTAAAGACATACTGCTGAATGATCCAGTTTGCTTCACATTATTGGTGCCATTTCTGTGTGCACACATGCCAACTTAAATAACCAACCTTTGGTCCAACGGGTCCAATTTCTCCTCTTTCACCCTTTCCTGGTGGCCCGTGGTCGCCTCTCTCACCCTACACAGACAAAAGAACAAACTGAGTTTACAGAGGGAAGTTGCCGCTGTTCTCCAGCAACATTGTCAGCAGAAGAGCTGTGATGCACCTTCTGTACATAAACTTCAGTTTCCTCAATGTTATGTAGTACTGACATGCCCAAGGAATCTACTGTAAGAGCTCCCCGCCCCTCTCGTGAGTTTGCTTACTCGACAGATTTACATGGTGAATTCAAGGTATTTATGCTGCCTGCTGGTAGATCGTGACCCTTGTCAAGGTGAAATGTTATTTTCAAGAAAACCCTAAAACGTACGTCTACATCCAGCCTTCATTGTACTTAAGTTGAATATTTAAAGAAAAATGCAAATACTTTGTTGTATAGTTTTCTCTTATAGCGAAGTGACTTCAGACAGCCAATAGAGGGTGATGTGGTATAACTTAGTCCACACTCTCCATTACTTATTGCTGATGCTTAAACCAAGTGGGACACAAGCATTACTCAGCAGTGTTGAGTAAATTAGGCTTTTTTTTCTATTCAAATAACTGCTTGCTAATGATAATGTAATTGCACAGACTTCAAAACAGACCTACTGACTCTTCAGTTCAATTTTTTAAAAAGACTTCAGCAGTACCCCTCTGAAACATTTGGTAAAACCCCAGCTGTCTCAAACCTGTGAGCTGACCTGAACACAAGGAAAAACCATCACATACAATATTGTCTGCAATGATCCTTCTTTTCAGCTACACCCTGACATTTCATTAAGCAAACAGAGATATACCAGAGGACAACACAAGACTAATAAATCTTGGTTATGAATGCACTGCAACAGCCGGATGCAAAAGGACAATAGGAGCGTTAATTCTAGCATCTGGATTATCACTTCTGGCTCCACGGTGTGATAATGTCACGGCTCAAAGCAGTGAGGATTTGCTCATTCTGACTAATTCCAAGTGACATGATTTTAAAGAAACATAAGCTTAATGACTCCTGTAAAGAGATAATAATGGGTAATGAGACTATAAACCTGGAGGAATAACTGATTTCACTGACGAGCACACTGACAGAATGTGTTAAATGACTCATTGTGACTGGTATGAAATAGATTGTGTCACTCTGAGCAGAACATACCTGTAATATTGTGACAAACAAAAAGATTACTGTAGAAACCGTAGCTGAGAGCTAAAGTCTCCCACCTTAGTTCCCGGGAGTCCTGGAAGCCCTGGCTCTCCCTGGGGACCGAGGAATCCAGGCTCACCCTGAAAAAATCCGCAAATGTTACTTATTCTTCCACAGGGCATATCTGGTGTAGCGCCACCTCCACCCACTGCTAAACACATAGATGCATGGCCAGACATATTCAAAACGACAGGCATGCACACAAACACACACACTCAGGGACACAATTTATCAGTGGCTTGTTAATTTCTCCCCTGGACTGACCTTGTTAGAAACTCATCATGGCACTCCTGCGTGCAAAAACCAGAGTCTCTGAAGAAGCTTTAACATTTCTGCATTTGCACTTTCACTTATGAGGAGTGAGCTTCCAATACGAGGTGTGATGCTCGACTTGATTTACATTACATCTGATTCTGAAATCACTTAATTGGAATAATTACTTTACCATATGCAACCCACCTAGAGTAGCTTAGGCCCCGTGGAAGCCCTTGGAGAGGTAATGGACACTTGCTCCTCAAACTTTTAAACTGTGATTGGGTAAACAGCCAAGAATGCAGAGCAGAACAGAAGTGCAAGTCGAGCGAGTGCAGCGTTAGCAAACTATTGTTACAATCCATCAAGCATTCAGGCCTCTTAAGTAAAAACAGGAGTATATAAAATGTACAATGAAAGGGCTTTTTTTTACAAGACCAGCACATTACAAGCACACAAAAAGAGAAAAACAAAAACCAAAGCGGCAACAAGCGTCATCTCATCATGCCCGTGTGAGCATTCCTTGCATTCACATGCTATATCTCAAGCTAATGAGCTGGATATACATTAAGGAGGTTGCTATTCTTCAAGCATAAGATGGCAGTGAATTATTATATGTCTTTTGTGCCTGAAGTTCACCATCTGCTGTTTGTTTTTTAAAGTAAAAAAAGCAAGCACCTTAATTAAAAACAATAAAAGCCTGTTTTGAAATCAAACTTCCTCTTCTTAACAAGCAGTAGTTTTGACACATTTTGCACCAAGTTTCTTGATGCCACTTCCAGGAAGTAGACTGATGTTGTTGCCAGGGATGCAGTGTTCCAAACATTAATTCATAGACTTCTGCACTATTCACAAGCCCTAATGAGACAGTTTTCCTGCTGACTTCTGGCATGCTCAGATCAAAAGCATCGACTATTTGGCCTTGTCAGTTTGCCTGAGCTCCTTGCTTTTTCATTGCACTGAATGTTCCTGTGCCTCTGCCACTCAAGCCTGATGGAACTACGTACAAATCCCACACAGTAGGAAAAGCAAGATTATGAGACCTTAATGTGTCGCACACGAGGCATGTCGATAGGTCAAAAGCTGAGTTTTCCTCTGTACTCGGCTACAGACATACGGGCTGAAGAGCATGGACAGGGACAACACTGGGGGGAATGACTGGGGATAAAAACAGCGAAGCATTTACCTTTATCCCTGGGAGTCCAGGCAGCCCTGGAAGTCCTGGCTCTCCCTACACAGGAAGAGTGTGACATGTTACAGCCAAGCCAAGCTAAGCTGAGTCAAGCCTCATTTGTAGGCTATCTGGGGTTCTATTTGTTCTACACTTTATATTCTATTGTGTTTTCACTGGCTATCAAGCTAATTCTGAAAAGTTGCTTGTTGCGGTCTGCTGTCCATAACTGTATGTTGACTGTCATTTGCTTGTGGTAAGCACTAGAAGGTACTGCACATGCAATTTCAAACCAACTCATGCAGCCATGGCTTGACAGCGTGATTAGTGCTTGTTATAACACTCAACCCTTCACAAATTGCAAAGGAGTTTTCTTTTTACGATATTATTGGTTTGGGCAGGTGTGAAAAGTTCTGGTTTCTGGTAGGAAAAACTGTCAGATACTTTGGATTAAAGTAGCAAAAGCTGCTTGAGAGAGCTGCCGTGGCTTCAAGGTCGTTAGATTTTGGCAGGGCTGGAAGTCGAGAGTTGGCCTATTTCTCCATTACCAAGGTCAGGTCATTGTCAAGTTGAGAACTCCAGACTCCCATTAGGCCTACAAGTTTGAGTAACGCTCATTTGATTCAACTGTGGAAAAATCAGAGGTCAAGTCCCTTGTGACGCCTCCGCAAGACTTTCAAAACAAAGTTTCTGACTATGGATAATTAAACGCTCTATTAAGACCATTGTATTTATGGCATATGAAAAGAAATTATTATAGCCGCATGAGAAAGATCAACTGTAATGGCACTCAGGGGATCTGAGAGGGGGCTGTAAATTTCCATTGTGGCTAATGAACGCATTGTAAAAACTAATGAATAAAAGTCTTTCTTGTGGACTACTGCTTCACCAACACTCCATTGCCATCCAATGGTAATATTTAATGGGCAACAACAACTCAACCTCGGGAATGAAAAATACAATTTGTAAGTGTGTCAGCACAAGCAGAACGGCTGTAAAATGAGAGATAAGATAAAGCAGTCAAAAAATTAGTTAGGCCACGAGTATTTTCTTTGCAGCACAGCAGAAAAAAAAGACACGTGCTAAAAGCCCTTCTGTCTGTCTGGAACCAGTTTGTCCAAACAGATAAAAGAGAGGGTAAATCAATGGGGTGCAGCACTTGGGATTAAAAAGTGTAATTACATGGGACGCTGGTGCAATCTTGGCAGCAGTCTGGTCAAGGGACAAGTAATGGCTTTTTTTGCAGGAAAATAGCTCCTCTTCTGCTGCATGCTTGTTTTATTAGTTTCTCATCAGCCACTGTTTCTATTAACAGTATTCTTCCGATTTTGTTTGTTGGCTTGGAAAGTGTGTCAAACGCTAGAATAAAAACTGGCTGGGAGAGAGAGGTCGCACTAACAAACACTGCTCAAACAACAAACAACTTGAGCGGTTGGACTGATACCAAGCAAAATAATGGGATGACCTGTTGGTTTCTGACAAATACAGGGCACAATAAAATGGAGCAAAATCACCCAAAAGATCGAGAGGTGTTAGTATGATACCTGGGACCTTATACTGGCTCAAAACAGGTATAAAGCCAAAGTAAATGGAAAATGAGTAGGAGCACTGTGATGTACCGAAGTTTAAGTTGAAGTGTCAGGTTCTCCCCATCCCCCCCCCAGTGTACAACCATCCTTATTACACTTTAAACAGTGAGGTTCAACTGAGGTGGACGGCTCTTATCCAAACTTGAACAATTTTTTCTTGCAAAACAGCCTAGAGATTCACCATTTACAATTCACTGTTTCAGAGTGATGAAAAATAAATATGTTCATCCATCTACTCAAATTTTGATCATTTTCATTTACTGCATATTTTATTCCCAGTTTCACCTATCAACACCAAAACTATTATTAACATTAAGAAACACTATATATATTTAATATATGAATATATTATATTATAACTACGGTTAGTCCATATGAATAAAACTACACTACCAACACTACTATCTATTTGTATTTATTATTTGTAACTATCTATCTACTGTCTATTAAAGAGCAATGTGTAGCAAAGTGCAGTTATTACCTTATGTCCACTTCGTCCAGGCTCTCCAGGTTCACCCTGAAAGACATGCAAAAAGTATTCTTTTCACCTACTTCATTTCCGGATTGGGTTGCACCAACTATTCATAAACCAATTACTAAGATTGTGCATTACGTCCTAGGTAAGTTCTTAAAACTATTAGCTAGTTTCAATTGATGATTACGCTAACTTATACAAGCTTAACCTAACTGACGTTTTGTGGTAAGTTAGCCAAAAGTTATTAGCATATTTTTTCTAATATGAGGTATATAAATATATAAAGAATATTTTTGGAGATGTAATTTCCCAAAAGTTTATTATTAAACAGCATTTAAAACAAAATTCTGATCAGATGTGTGGATCATATTACACTTAAGCTGATGGCAATTGATGATTTTGCTGGTGGCAAGTCTGACTGTGTTTTGAACGGATAGCGGCGGGCGGGGCGGGTGGGGGAAGGATATTACGGTAGTAATCTTTGCTCATTTCCAATGACGGCAACATTGCCCAGCACCATTGCTCTAAAAGTTGCTCCATGTATCATCAGCTTCACTCTTCACTTTAAATTGATGCAAGCTAACATGGATTTGGTTCAGTTAGCTAGGTTAGCAGACACCTGAACGTTACTGTGTAAATATAATCTCTATGTAAGAACTAGTGTGTTTGTCAGGTGCAAACCTTTTTCATTTAGTGGCACATAAATCTCCACTTGGTAAGTTTGAACTTGCAAACAGCCAAAGCAACTGACCTAATCAGGATCAAGAAACAGACACTGAAAAAAAATTATAGCGTTAACGTAGCTCTAACCTTGATGCCTGCTGCCGAGGAGCCTGCATCTCCCTAAGAAAAGGAAAAAAAAACAACAAGAAATTAGAAAGTTACAACATGGAAAGGTTATTACAAGAGAGGGTTGGGGCTTTCTGTAAGGTCACAACAGGAAAGATCATTACTGTGCAATTACAGATGAAAGAAGCCTATTTTTACTGAACAATGCAGAACATAATTTCACAACCACTGCATGTGCTGAGTTGTCTGGACAAAATGGGGCTAAAATCCTATTATGAAGACGAGTGTCTAAGCAATGTTCAGACTGAATGTATCCTCTCGCTACAGTTTGGGAGAGAATTTTATAAAACTAAAGTCCTGGCAATCATTTCATTGTTTTTAAACTGTCAGAGTGCAGCTGCATACTGGTGATGACAGGAAATCCAACACTATATAAAAGAAATCCACAACACTTTTAGTAGGTGAGGGGCCTGATAGATATACTGTATAAATGGCAACGATTTAAACCTTTTTTTCATTGCATCTTTTCAGGTAGTATACTGAACTGGAGGAAGCTTTTCCAGCAAAGTCATCCAGAACCCAGGCCCTTTCCTATGCACTGCATTACTACTGCAGTTGTACAGTAAAAACATTCATAAAACAAGGGGCCAATAAGCTTAATTATGGGCGGTTGGTGGGAAAAGGGAACGGGGAGAAGGAGACAGGGTCTGTAGCTCTGCTGTGGTTTCACTACACATACGCCTTGCGCTCAGAAGTTGCTGAAGGAATGCCTCTCGCCCTCAGCTTTTTATGGGAATCATTACGATGCATAGCACACAAGGCATGTTTAATTGCACTTTTTTTGCAGACAATAAACTGTGTTGCTGTTTACAGCTGGGCTTTGTTGCATACCTAAGGGATCATCTATCCCTTTCTTAAAACTTATCATGGCAATTTTTATTTGGGCATTTTATTCTATATTTTATTGAGGTTAGAGCAGATCTAAGAGGATGGACTTACAGTTTACAGCCGTGGAAACAGGCTCCTCATATTACATTACAGAAGACGAATAAAAAGGCTTTCGCATAATTTTACATGATGGAATGAAAATGTTTTTGGCCCCATACTTCAGAAACAACATGGATGTCATGTTGTGGTTGACCTAAAAAATATAATAAAACAGGAAACTTTATACAGAGGCCCATTAGTCTTACTTTTTGTATCTTGATTGAATAATTGTTTCAACAAAACAAACATCAAAGTCAGAGCTGGTTTACACCTGTTGTTTTCTGGCAGGGATGGATATGTAAGAATGCCTCACATCTGTACTTAATCGTTACATCTTACACAAAAAAAGAACCTACAAAAGATCTTAAGCAATGGATTCTACGCCTAAAACAATGGACTATATGTAAGCATAATTACGTTTTTTCCCCTTATTAATCTCAGCACGATGAGACCATCAGGAGGCAATATTGTGAAAAATAGCACAATTCACACAGTTTTAATCAAAAAGCCACCATGACCCATGTGTAAACAAGTACCAGAGGATGCTACACAAGCAATTAACACTTCCCTGTTGACGTGTCCTGTCATGACAGACCTAACACAAGTGACACCAAGCCCAAGAAGCAAGTGAGAGTTTTCACAATTTAATCTATTCCAAATGGTGTATTATGAGATGGAAAAAGTGGTGAAGTTGGGAGGTGAGCTGAGGTGTGGCGCAGAGTACTAAAACGTCCCAACTGGGCCAATTACCATGGTGAGGCTACAGCCAGTGATTTAACCACAGACTAGAGCAGGACGGAGCGTGTCACCACAGCTCCACTTCATTATAGGCACCCAGAATGGTCGTAGCATATTGGCATTTAAAGATAATAGCATGAAGAGCTCATAATGTATACTTGGTAAATCATCGGCCATTTTCCAGCGAGTGAGAGCGAATGAGATGGAGAGGATTCATCAGCGAGCAATGAAGCTGATGCAGAGCTGTGACATATGTAACCATTAAATGTCACCACAGCCCTCAAATCATGACTCCCACTACATATTACAGTCATTAGTAAAGATGACCAAATTCAGCGCCCTCAGCTGAATATCGACTATCGAGTTAGAATGTACGAGAGGCAACACAGATTATGATTGGCTCCCAGGGTAGAAAGTCTCTGCCAACAGTTGAAACTCAGCCAGTTCACAAGAGCTTGGAACGGATCTTCGGATTCAAAAATTTTACCAACCACTGTGCCACACCGGCCAGAGCCAAGTGCTCACAGCCTGGAAGTTCCCAAAACCAATTTAAGAGTTTACTTGGGTAGTTTTTTTTTTTAAAACCATGAAAGAATTTTCCTATCTCTGAGGTCCGACTGTTTCAACAAGAAGAGTCACAGTTAATTTCAAAGCTAGTTAAATACTTAGGCAGAATGCATCAGAAGTAAATGGTTTAGAACTAAAGCTTTTAACGGTGGTAATGATTTGTTTTAAATGAGGCCAGAGATGGACACACAGAGGCTGCTGGGAACATTTCTCTAAACAGTTGATGATTATAGCTTATAAAAGCAACACCGCAGGCAATGTGCTATGTAAATGCATAATATGAAGAGCGGAGGAAAGTAACAAAGTGCATTTACTCAAATACTGTACTGTACATCCAAAATATATGATTATCTTAGAAAATATGATGCATTATTATAGGTTAAAAACCTTGTTGTTGAGCCCTATAACACCTGGTCTAGGTCTGTGTTACTTTGAGCAGTTAATTTTATTTAGGGATATTCAACATGTAAGCAAACAAATGCAAGTGCAAATTCTTAAAGCCTCTCTAAAGTTTGTTCAACACATACAAAAAACAGTTTTACAGTGTAAAATATGACAATTTTTGCTGTTTTACGGGAGGTTACATGCTGGACCATTTCATGGCCTGTGGTGACTTTAGGATGTTACTGGTCCTGGCCAAGAAATAGTTGAACACATAACCACCCGTAAAATGGCAAAACGGCATTACAAATTAAACAAATGAGACATAACTGTTTAATGAATGAACTTTAGAGGTGCAGGTATGGTGAATTTTGTTACTTTTGGACAGAGCTCACCTAGAGGGTTTCCTGTTTCTAGTCTTTTTGCTAAGCTAAGCTAACTGGCTGCTCGCTGTAGCTCTATTTACTGTACAGTCACAACAGCATTATCAAGCTTCTTATCTAACTCTCAGCCAGAAAGCAAATAAGCTTATTTCTAAACAATGTCGAATTACTCCTTTAAACAATTTTGCAATTTATCAAATGATATATAACAATAACAATACTACAATAATATAATGCATAATGATTACTTTTACATTTGATTCTTTAGATATTTTGCTAAATGTATATAGTATCTAATAACATTTTGAAATCAGGACTTTTACTCGTGAGAGGACTTTTATACTGTTTTACCACAGAACATCAAATTAAGGAACAATGTCGCACTGTAGGTGCTCTCTCATCTGAGGCATAACACTTCATATTTTTATCATTCCTGATCCGGAGAGTATCAGATTGTGTCTTTTAGGGTGTGAGGGGAAGAGATTTTGCATGTGTGCGTCCTGTCATTTAGTCTCTTTCACACTCTGCAGATCCCCCGCTGTCAAAACAATCTCCCTTTGTATCAGGCAATGGCTGGTCTGACTGCTTGCCCTACCATTTCTGTACACTTCTCTCCCCCCTCTGCACTCCCTGAGGTCTCTCTGCTCACCATACCGAAGCTTTCGCTGCCTCACCTCTCACCCTGCGTTACCACATTTTCCCCGCAGTGTGTGCTGTGTATTGTTAACTTTGGCATCTCCAGCACTGGAAGACTAAAGATGCTCTCCTTATTCTGTCTCCTTTACTCTTTCTGGTTTCCTCTTCCACCAGTGAAACAATAATAACAGGGAGGGCAATTGATCAGACGTACAACTCCGATGACAGGGGGCTCAGTTTGTGGAATGATATGGAGTTTTTTTCCCTTAGCTGATCCTGTGTATGTATATGAACATGCCTAAGACATTTTTCTTCACTTGCACTGAAAAATCGATCTATCCTTGGTGTGTGACATATGTTAAACTCATCTGGATGTTAAATCTTGATTGAAAAACAATTATCCCCACCATATGTGCACTATGTTAAAAAAAGATGAGCTAATCCTATCCATACTAATGAAATAATCCTCCCTATTTCCAGGTCTTTAAACTACTTTCTGTCTCTTTTTATTATGAAATAAATGCGTATGCTCTTAGAGAATGAATGACAGGTGACTGGCTACTGAAGTCTGAATTCCCACTTCCACTTTTTCTTTTTTACTCCTGCAGCCAATATGCGTTTTTTTCTCCACTTTTCCTGCATTAAAGTGTTGACCAGATCAAAGTGTTGCTCGAGCTGCAAAGTTTTATCGCCCTCCACTTTCCTTTTTGTTCACTTATTTTCCACAGATGATATCCTGCATCTGTTTCCCCCGAACGGTGTCTTTCTTGGCAACCGTGTTCGACAGTCTTTTCAAAACCAGAGTACCCATAAAGTGAGAAGTTATCAAAGTTGTTCTCTGCTGAACAGCAATAAATTGGCAGTGACATTTTGAGTACACTGCTTCTACTCCGATGCTGGTCAATTCGTTATATTTTGTTTTAATACCGAGCACAGTATTTCTAGCAGAAAAGCAGCATCTCCAGCGTATAAACAAAATCACAGTATTTTGTGTCTGCTGTCTCTTCTTAGCAACTGTCTCACCATTTTTTGGCAACACTGGGAAGAATCTTTATCTTTTCCCAGAAATGTGAGCCATTTTTTTTGCACAGACTGATGAAAAGCTGAGTCGACATATTTAAAGAATCATCCAAAAATCCAACCTTTAATTGTTTTGTTTCTGAAATGCTTCACAAGAGTAAAGAGGCATAAATTTTGTTATTAGGTCACCCAATACAATTAAGGCTGTGACCTATTTTCATAAATGCTGCTCGAACAAAATAGTAACAGCAAAGGCAACGTAAAAAGTCCTGGACAGGAGGCATAATCTGGCTCTGGACAGGCTTGTCAGTGTGCTAACACAATACCAAAAACTTTTCCCCGAAAAACAAAAGCTTTTTGGACAGAAACACGAATCTATTAGTTTAGCTCTGAACAATCTGTCCAGCAGTGCACCACTCTGCCGTTTGTTGGAAGTGACAAGCTGTCTTGATGATAAATGGTCCCAAATTAATGCAGGAGCCATCCAACCAGAAAATGTAGCATCAGCATAGCATAGCAATTAAGTCCACATTAAGCACAAACGGCGCATCAAGTGCCAGGATGATTGCTGTTGTGCAACCTTGACTACAGCTGATGGCACTTGACCCCAGCTACTTCTGCTGCTGCTGCTTCTCCACAGATCTCCTCTCAGATGGCTAACATTAAGTTTAATGTTTTCCGGCCACAGCCAGACTGCTGCTGTTTGTCTGAGCAAGTTCCAAGACATAAAGAAAGAGAACGAAAAGTAGAGTGGAATTTACATACCTTCTCTCCCATATCACCTTTCGGTCCATCTTCGCCCATATCACCCTGTGATGAAATCACACAGAGCCAATTATATTCGGTTTATCCTATTCAGTCTATTGATGGCAAGACTGTGCTGAACAAAAATAATAAAGCTGAAAATGATAAAAAAAAAAAAAAAAACATCTTAAACATAATTGGGAGATCGTTTACATAACACATAACACACATAGGACTTCTGTGATTGACTGCCCTGTAAAATAGCGTACTGGATACTTGGTAAATTGTAAAAGTACATTGTAGCAAAGTCAAAGCATTGACATGTTAAATTCACTTGGGTCACTAACTGAGTCATTACGCAAGGTTCAAATGTGACTGATTTCATGTGACGTAATACACTCTGTGGGGCTTTGTGGAGGTCCTAAACATCTGGCATCAAGAGCAAAGAACTTCACTTCTAAATTCACAACTTTTCCATCTGAGCTGTGTGAAATATATTGAATGTCAGAGCTGCTAGGGTGGCAATGACCATTGGCCAGTTGTTCTACATCTTTGGTCCAGACGGAAATATCTCAACAATTATTGGATGGATTGCCATGAAACTTTGTACATACATTCATAGTTCCCAGACAATTGATCCTAATTACTTATTGATCCTGTGACCTTTTCTCTACCACCATGAGGTTGACATTCGTCAATGTCGAGAATCATGTCCACCTCATGATGAATTGAATAACGTTTCAATTTGTCATTTATGGCCAAATAACTGCAAAACTAGTGCCAGACAGCCACAGCTGTACTTTGTTTTTAGTGCTGACTGGCAAATGTTAGTATGCTAGACGCTAAACTAAGATGGTGAAAGTGGTTAGCATTCTACCTGCTTACATCAGCATGTTAGCATTCAGCTCAAAGCACCACTGGGCCTACATAAGCCTCTTGATTGATTACTTATGATTGCACTGCTATAATTCCAGTTGATTTTATATCACTGATATTATGGTATATGCAGTATGTTCCTTATTTGAAGGTGAATAGCAAATCCAAAGACTTAAAATAAAGGGTTGTGTCCTTGTGGAGGATAACACCCTAATGATGTCAGAACTCTGCTTCTCAAACAATCAGTTTGTATCTGCTTGAGGTTGGCATTGTTTTCTTAAATTTGCCTGCTGGCTCTTTAGTTAGCAACCAAAGCCAAAAACAGCTATTTATGTTAACATATTTGGCTCCTCTCGAAATAAAAGCTCATAGTACTTTGGAGTGAATTTCAGTGCTGTCTTTGGCAGGGAACTCATCATTTTACTTCTGATAAATCCACATATTAAACAAACAATAGCCTAATAGCTTATGAATCATACAATGAATAGCAATTCCAAGGTTTTCAAAGGATTTGTCCTTATGGAGAATATTAAAAAGAAACTTCAAGAAAATGCGCTTACTATAACAGACAATATGCTTGACGTCAAGCGTTAATCTGTTTAGATGCATTGTCATTTAATTTTTCCATCTATGAATCTATCGGTTAGAAGATAAAATGACTACTAGCATCAGACAGAGGCAAGTTTAAAAAAACATCCTTTTCCCTAATTTGCCTGTTGGCTGTTTAGTTATCGAACAAACCCAGAAACAGCAGTTTACATTAACAGATCTGGCTCCTCTTAAAATAAAAACTTGTAGTATTATAAAGATGTGATTCCCAGCCTGGGGGTCGGAGGATAAATCGGAAGGGAATCAACATGATTAAAAAGATTGGAAATAAGATATTAAACATATTCTGCCAGATATTTTAACAGTTATTTTCTCTAATATTTGCATTTTTACTTCAGCCCGTCTGACATGGCATTTTTAAGGATCACAAGTCAAAATGGTTAGGATCCTCTGCTTTACAGTGAACACTATGGGAAAAAAGCAGAGGAATAAGAGGCAGCTTCTCACCAACACAAATGTAGAAACCAATCTACCTCGTCAGACCATTCAGTTATAACTTTCCTGGACTGACCTGAACTCATGCCAAAGCAATCTCCTCTAAATGCAGTTCCCATTGAGCCATCATTTGATCATTTGCGTCCAGCTAATTCGCCACAAGACACCCATGGTGCTGCGAGCAGTGGTTGCTAAGAGATTGGCTATTTGGCCGCACAGCCTCATTATTACAGTGAATCAGGTGTCTTAGTGAGAGGGAGCGAGTCTCTGATTTGCAGAAAAACTCAGAACAACAACTGAAAACAACTGCCTGAAGGCCAGCTTTGTGGTCGATGAAGAACACTGAGTCATCACCTCCCTCCAGCCTGTCTCACTCTCAATTCTGTCAGTGTTCACACCTCACACCAGCTCCTGTCCAACAACAATGAATAAGGGCACCGTTAGAATTAGGGAATGGAGAGAATAAGGCTGCTTTTCCTCACTGAGAATATTGTGTGGGTTCACTTTTTCGGTCTCCTCTGAGGCCTGTAGTTGGAGAAACTGGCTTCAATTTTGTGACTCACTGACTCACTGATGGCCAAATCTCAGAAGGGAGTCACCTTTGAAAAAGACAAGCTGTGAGTTGTGTGAAGCAAAGGCAGAGCCGCCGTCATGACGGCTGTTCCAACACATGGCGGGATATCAAGACTGACGCTAACAATAATGTCTAGTGATCTAAATTAGCACTTTTACCTTTTCACCTCGCTCTCCCATTTCACCCTGTTGGGAAAAAAGCAGAGTATTAAACACAGAAAAGCTCAGGGGGAGTTGGGTTCATTTGGGGTTTTATTGCAGCCACTAAGGGTCAGATTGTATCTGGGGTTAAGTTCATGTTAGATTATGAAAATTCTCTTGTGTTATGGCTGCTTTTTCCCCCAGACAGACCACGGAGTGTCAGAGAGTCCTTACTGAAAGATTAACAGGGCCAAATCCTACTTCAAATGTTTTTCACCACAATTTCAATTAATTAAAACCTGTAGCTACCGCTATCACATTTATTACTAAGAAGGTAACATGCTCTTATTGATATATTGGCAAATACAGATCATGTGACCATGATATCAAACAAAGATGAATGAAAAGACAAATATATGTGTTTTCTAAAGAAGAGTAAAAAAATGTATAATGAAAAATATGGTCAAAATAAGTGTCCAAACGTTAAAAAGAAGATAATGTTTCTTTGATGGGAAAGGATGCAAAAAATATTACATGACTTCCAAACACTAAAACTAAAAATATGATTGCCATGAATTTACAAGAATAAGAGCACACAGAATATGTGTGCACCACACCTTGGCTCCGGGGATACCGTCCAATCCTGGGATGCCAACATCCCCCTATGGACAGCATAACATACACACAGAGGCTGTATTCAGTGTGCTGTTTCAGCAATGTGATTTCAGGTTAGGAGATACAAAAAGCTTCACATTTCCTCATTAGAGAGCGATAACCTCTGACCCTAACAGAGGTTAAGTTTGTGTTGTGACTACACAGGTGTTGTGCATTTTCTGAAAAAGCTGATAACGGAGCAGTAGATGGGATAAATAGTTTATTTTACTATATTATAAGGAATAGACTCTGCACATGTTACCTTACAGCTACAACTGAATAAAAGCCATTCAATACCAATAAAGTTCAAAAAGATTTAATATTGAAACCGCAAATTATTATTCTCTATAAGTGGAGAAGATAAACAATCTGATTCAAAGCTTAATTATCTCTGGTGTGGTTCTGAACATGGGCAATTTAAGAAAGCCATGTCAATCTAATGAATGCCAGTCCAGTGCGTGTCTGAATCCCTGTTGTCTGCAGCGCTCACTGAGAAACCAATCTGAGTCCATCTGTTGCAAAAAACAATTAACCTCGTGACCTCTGCAAAGCCACCGCATCATTGGCCTTTTAGAAGAGGAGCAGCTTCTCTTCAACCCAGAGACACAACTTTAACCTGATAACGCTGATCAATAGCCAGTATTGAAATTAAATGTATTACTTAAGTTAAAATACACATTAATGTGCTGCTGGTCACATTGTAAAGAAACATCGTATATATGTTCTTTCTCACTTTCTTATTGTTTTCCTTTTCCACACAATGCTTTGCTTTCCAGAAGTATTGTGGGAATATCAGTGTGGATGATCCATCTATAGGGAGTAGCCCCTCAGCTACACACTAGTGTAGACGCTAGTGAAGCTCTTCATAAATGCTGGAATTGTGTATCGTCTATCAGCTCACATATGGGAGTCATTGACATAATGATGATGATATATTACCATAATGATGATGGAGTCTGATTAAAAACTCCTAAAGTGGGTGGCTGATAAGGTTTGCATTAGTGATCATGCCCTTATAGTGGATATCTATGTCAGATCAATATGTCTGCCAGTCAACCTGCCACTGCTGGCAGAGCATCCTTTACTGCTTTAGATTTCAACTTTCTGCATGAGTGAAGGCTACATACCATAACAAATTCTGTTTTATAACTGCATTGCACAGCATTGGAGTTCTATTTCATGGGTGCTGGCAAACCCCACTCTTTACACAAGTATGGAATTAGGCCTTCAGCTTTTGCTGTCTCTAGTGTCAGTATGGCTTTCACTCCAAAATGAAACTTCTATACTCTGGTTCTTGTTACAACCATGCGTGCCTCTTCATAAATGCATTCTTGAGATTTGAAAGATGTCGCCTCTCAAATCATCTCCCCATTCATTCTCGTTACCTATACCGTCGTTTGTTCTGGTAAAAAAATATGCTTTTCCATTTTTTTACCCATTGTGAAACACCTGCACTGTGTCTCCTTTATTTGCTTTGAGAATGAAATGCAGAAACGAGCCGAGAATGTGAGCAGAATCACAGGCAGCTTGAAACTGTACTTTGTGGTTAAGACTTGAAGATGCAGCCCAGGGGATTTCTCCTAAATAGGACAGCGGTTTGAAATTGTCAGAACGCATGGCAGAACTTCTTTAATATGAAAAGTGCAACACACAGCCATAAAGACTTATGAAAACTCTTAAGCATGTTAAAGTGAGTCTTTTGAAGAAAAAAAAAATTCAGGTGTGGGTGAAAGTTAGCCTTCTGAACTTAATGTGTAGTATTATGTGAGGGACCCATGTTCGGGCTAAATTTAGAGGGGCTGCTAAATTTAATTGAAACGAGTTATGAATTTGCTGCAATTAAAAATATTCATCTGAACAACACAGTTAAGTCTTATAGGGTCAGTGTGTATGTTTAGTGGCATCTAGTGGTAAGGATTGCGAATTGCAACCAACAGCTCGAGGTGCATTCATGTGCTCCTTGGATAGTCCCATTTCCCGAGTTGTGAAGTCGTTCTTCCGACTTCAGCGTGTGTTCATGTGCTCTTAAGTTGGAATGTGGAACCAACATGGACGCTACTGTGTTGGATTAGTATTATCAGAGCATGTAAATAACACGCAGACATCCGGTTCACTGTACATGGACAGCAAACTAACCGTTATAGCCATATTACTTAACTTGAGCAGATTCATCATTTACCATATTTATAAAGATTTTCTATTGATGTGGGAGAAAGTGGTATCTTGCTTTTATAAAAGTCAAAGAAAAGAAAATAAGTACTTTATCTAAATGTATTAATTCTAATGGCAAAATTCCACATTCATATTTAAGCAGTAAAAAACTTGTACTTTTTCTCCAGGTGGTACATTATATCAATATAATAATTATTTTTAAAAAAGGCTGTAAAAACAGTCAGCATCACGCAATTTGGCTCTGGTGACTTATATTTGTTATCTGTACCTAAGGGCCGTTCAGAGTTCGGTATGAGGGCCTAGCTATTCTACTCCCTCCAACACACTGCAGACTGACTTGCAGGTAAGAAATCTGATCTCCTTTGGTGAACTTAAACACCGGATGAAGACTTGGAACTAGATGCAATTAATTGTTGTCACTATACTGTACTTATAAGTGGTCTTAAAGTTATACTGTTTATTTGTGTTTTTCTTTGTTGAAAGTCCTTTGTTATTGTGGGTTTGCTTTGTGTTCGTATTTGTAACTGTGTAACTCTGTCAATATGCGGCAGTTTTGGCCAGGTTTCTCCTGAAAAAGAGGTTTTAAATCTCAATGAGATCATCTGGTTAAATAAAGGTTAAATAAAAAACACATGTTCCTCTTTTAATATCTTTCTATAATATATCCTACCCCTGGCAAAGTTTTTATCATGTCTTCTTATATATTTGTATACTGTTCTGTATACTTATTTATGTCCCATGTACACTTTATTTCTCTTTTTGCAATAATGATTTAAGGAGGGGGAAAAAATCTGATTATTCCAACACCACATGACTGCACCATCAGTCACTGCTCAAACCTCCCTTTCCATGTGCAGAGGAGAGGCTACAGTGGCCGACACGCTCTGTTGGCTCTTGTGCTAATACATGTGGTCCTCCATTTGTTCAAATTTCACTTAATTTCTTACTTCTAATAAACCAGTCGACTACTTCTGCTAGGGTATTCTTCTTCCTTCTTCTTCATACATATTCAACATAGTGACAAAACGCACTCTGTAGAGCAGTTTGTCCGTTCGGGCTACTGTAGAAACATGGCAGCGCAACAGCGCCAGTGGTGTATGTAGATAGAAATGACTCATTCTAAGGTAAAAATAAAAGGCAACGGTTCATTATGTAAGGTCTTTTATACACCACTGAAAACAGAGTTATGCATATTATACTGCATTTCTGTCCTCCTAAATATTACACACTTCAAAACCTTTTTTAAAAAGTGAAAGACTTTATTAATAAAAACAATTTTGCAGCAGCTCCCATTTTCTTCAGTGAAAACTAATCTGAACAACTAGTCAACGGCCAAAAAGAGGAGCATAGAAATTGTATTGTTTGCATATTTCTTTATAAAAGTAACCTCACCTTCAGTCCATCAACACCTGGGACGCCAGGAAGGCCGAGTGAACCCTGAGAAATAAACACAAAGACCTTTAGGTGTCTTTACGTTCAACAATCACACTGTATTTCACTTGCAAAGAAGCTGACAATGCAGAATTATGGTTATCAACAACACCCCAAAGAAAGATCAAGTCATATACTGTTAAAAAATAGTCATACACAGACGCAGGATTAAACAGCCTACAGAGGCGCCTCTGAGCAGGCCTGTCTATTGTTACCATCCCCACTTCAGCACGTACACTCAGTGTGTGCTGATCTTATAAAACCAGGCCAGAATAAATATTGCATGTCATATTTTAAGATCCGCTAAGTTATGGACTATACAGGCAGAGAGGAAGACCGGGATTTGAGAATAAATCTGTTGAGTTTCAAAATGAGAAAAGAGAAAGTAAAAAAACAAAAGGCTTTAAAGATACTTTGGCTCTTGTGCTTGCAAGTACTCCTTTAACTTACTTAAAGCAGATGATTTAGACTCTGAGGTTTTACCAAGCATGTTTTAATGAACTCCCACTCTCTTGGATAGTGGTTTGCTTATGCTGGCTATTGGTGCTTCTTCGTAATAAAAGTAACTTACTGTTGCCATGGTCACATTTTTAGATGTATCAGAGATGAGTGAAACAATAAAAAATAATAACCAGGTCTTATTAACCAGAATATAAATTGAGATGAAGGAGAATAGAGAGTGGATCACATTACAGTGGGAAAGTTAATGAAAAATATTGTTATTATTATTATTATTATCATATAAGTTAAAATGTAGGATTCACACTCTACTTTTTATCATGTAATGACAACAAACCAATCACCAAGGTGATGAAACTTGAATAACTGTTGATGTCGGCCCTCTGCTAAACACAGCACTGCACCAGATCTAATTGAGTAGCCTTTGGGCCTGGCTTATGAGTCATTAACACGGCGGTGTGTCATCATTGACCCCTCCACACTCCTTCCACGCCGACGGGAGGCCTTGCCGACAGATGACAGCGCAGACAGGAAGTGTCTGATTGGGTTACACTGAACAAACACTGGCAGCTACCTGATGGCTGGATATGGCTTACATCTGTTCCCCACATCAGTGCCGCCAGGGACACACAGCCTGTATCGCAGCACTTAGCTCCAGGTTCTCTGTTCTCCGTCTTTCTCCTTCTCTGTCAGTCTTTTTCTTTCCCTCATTGTGCTGTTCGAGCCTTAACGCTCCTCTTGCCTTCTTACTTGCCCTTACTGTGCCCCTGTATCACTAACGTCCAAGTAAACATATTCATGTTTTGTTTTAAGAATTTGAAAACAGAGAAAGCTCCTGTTCAATGTGAGATGTATTTTTGATGTAACTCGGTAGATAACCAAGTCAGAGAATGTCGTTTTATTTGATCTAAAAGAAAAATAAGAAATATCAGGGGAACAAGAAACTATTTTCTAGTCTTACCTTCTGCCCTTCAGGCCCCTCAGGTCCCTATAAATGAAAAGAGGCAGAGAGTGTGAGTGGAAGAGAAACAGAACAAAAAGAGTACATGTCAGATGAAATAATATGATTTCCACAGCCAATATGGTCACAGCGGAGAGACTGGCAAGGCTTTCGGTAGGATTTCATACAGTGAGCACACACCCTTCAGGCAGAACCGAATCACAATCAGTCCCTTGTTTTATTCTCCGGCAAAGAATGAGAATCACTCTGTGCCTTCTTTTCATCGAGCTTCCCCATAATCTCTAATGAGACCATGAAAAACAAAAACTTTTATATGGGTTTATCTTTTATGTTGATCTCCTTCTTTATTCATTTTAGCGACTGTAAAATCTTATTTGGCTGTTCCACATTTTAAGTCCACAGTCCAACACATAGAGAGGTTCATTATCTAAATGGGCCATTAGTTGGAGAGCCTTACAAAGCTAAGAATTTAGACAGGGCATATAAGGCGCCACATCTTTAACTGAGATTTAACACAGTGATAGATGTGTCTGGGAGGACAGCTTCTATTTTCAACCTGCCGTTTACCACAGTGAAACCAGACGCCATGTTGGATCCTCAACCTCCTCCACCAGAACCTGCTTAAAAAACAGCAACTTTATGACTAGAAATGAGAAACCAAGCCCAAAGTTAGTTCCTTCCATGTTGGCTTCACTAGAATCTGAACTATTGCAGTAACCCACAGCAGTTCATCAACACCTTTACACTTGGCTGTTATGACACCTCGTGTTGGCCAACATTTTCCTCACTGTCAGCTCAAGATCCACAGTAAGTGGTGCTATTTGGCTCATCGCTCTCAGTTGGGTCGAGGCCAGGCAGACCTTATGCCACACAAGCCCTCTACAACAACAACTTTCCAAACTTTATTCGTGTGGATGGAGCATAGTTGGCAAAACCTAATAAGTGGCCCTCTGGTGAGTGTAAAAGGTTTGTGTGCCTGTATTCAAAAGTAGCCAAAAAGGACGCACTCGGGTTGAAATGTTTGACTGTCGGTGCAAATATTTGTGAAGAAGAAGTTTAGTTTGGTGGCGGCCAATTTATGTGTGTGGCCAAAGCACCAACAGCTCCTTGGCTTAGCTAAACAAGGACAATAATAATGACCCATTTTCTGAGAATAAGTATTGTTTACGTTTTGTTGATGAAACAAAGTGCTCACCAAGTAACTGAAGCTCAAAACTTTCCCATTTACAAAACTAGCCCGTTAAAATCCCTGCTGCAACAAGTTCTCACATTCATTTACAGAAATGGCCCACACAGTTGCAGCTCATTTATAGTGCATTCCATGTGCACTTATAACAAAAACCTCAATGAACAACTTTCATTTTCCGGACCAACCAAGAAAAAGGTTTTCTTCTCCTGCTTGCCTGTAAAAGCCTTTGTTAGCTATCCTCAGTAGGGTTTGGTAAACATCTTTATGACCCACTAGGTATGTGAGAGCATGTGTCACTCGCCTGAGCGCTAATTAGCTTGGCTACATCTGAGAGCACTCAGGAGCTACTGGCTGAAAGGGAGATTTTTCAAAAAGTCAAGAGTCCTTGAGGAAGTCTTGGTCCTGGCTCTTTTGTTCTCAAATGTGGTCCCTGACATTGCTAGAAAATTAAAATTGAGAAGAATCCAAACGTGTTCATTAAAGAGGATAATTATTTAAACTAAAAGCACTCACTGCGGCAGCACATGCTCAGCATATCGCACCTTAGCAGCCTCATTTAACATTCATAAAAGAAAAGAATCCAAGTGCAATATCAACAGGATACCTATTGAAGTCGAGCATCCGAGCACAAATACAAAGTGCTGAATGTTTGGTGCTTTCATCCATGTCTCGGAAATGGCAAACAATGAAGCCAGGTAAATTCCCACACTCAGTATGCAGTTGAACCCTCCGCCAATTGAAGAGCTTCCAGAGTGTGCATTTCTTGTTCATCATTTACAACACAAATATTTTGACTGATCATAGCTCAGAAAAGCTGCATATCGGAGCTTTAGAGAGGCAGGTTCAGAGTTTCTGTTTCACTGTTAAGATCTTTTTAAAAGCTTTGCCATATAACACTGCTACTTACATTAAACTAAGGTACTTTCAGATTAAATGGAAAATTATTCTTTTGATTTATCTGATATTATTATGTTTCGACAACCTGGGTCTTATTGTCTTAAGTTTGGCCAGTGTAGCTAATGGTTAGCATAACAGTGAGCTCACCACCATCACTGTAGAGATTGTGGACATGTGTGCTTTATTTAAACTGTGCACATGACTTTTCGTTTTGTAAAACATTTAAATCGCACCAGCATTACTGCTAACTGTAAACAAAACGCTAACAAGGACAAAGTTTTCACCTTTATTAATTCATACAGTATTATACTGACCTACAGGCTCCAGTAGGTTAAATGACAGTTTACATTGTATAATTAGTTTAGTATAAGTATAATTAGTTATTATATAAAAGTTTTAAGCTTATTCTGATATATTTTAGAATATTTCACTTCCACTGTGTATAGGCAAATTAATGCATGTAAAACTACTTACATGAATGCCACATTATCAGGATTTGGTAGTCTCCACTATAATTACATCCCAGTCCCAACAGTCCCAAACCCAAAGATCAAACGGAGAAACCAAAACCTAATGACTTTAGTATTTCTAAAACCCTGTCTGTACAGTAGGCATAGTGCCTAAAACTATGACAATAAGACCCAAGTTGTAAAAGAAAAAAAAAATTTCCCTTTTAGAACAAACAGATTTTTTACACAGGGAAAAAAAGCTTTATGCCCGTTACTGTCAACATTTTCCACAACATTGTTGTCCATGTCCTAAGTCATTTCCTCACATCTTTATTCCTCATGTTTGGCTTCACATTCAAAGAAAACGTAGTCAAGGACACCAAAGTAATTATAGGTATGTCCTCATTATACAGGCATTTCTAGATGCATGCCTAAAATTTCTAAGGTGAGTCACTGGTGCATTGTGGGTAGTTATAGAATGAACAGGATGTAAAAGAGGAGCACCAAAAAGCAGATGGAGTAGGATTTTTTTCCGGACGGAAGACTGCATACAACACACCACTGGTTTTCCATATTTAGTCTTTTTGAAGCACAATCAAGTCCCAAATGAAAACTGTGTGCAAGGCTGCAAGCCACCTTTACAGAGCTGAAGACTCTGTTAATTTACCCCAGAGAGACCTTATGGCACAGATGATTTTAAATTCAGTCCTGAAAATATTACTTCTTCTTCTTCTTCCTCCCACCTCCCCCCTCCTGCTTGTTGCTCCATATAAGCCTAATCCTTCTAACCAACACCATATGTCCTGGAAGGCTGCTGGAAAACTCTGGAATCTACTTTTGCCTCCTTAACAATAGCATCTACATCAAAATACGCTGAGCTGTGTCAAGTGGGCGCTAGCTCTGAGAGCACTGTGAAAAAAGCAAAGGCTGGTAAAGGACCGACCTCAAAATCCCTACCTCGAGTTGACTTGTGCAGATCTGAAAGTGCCAATCAAAGATTATCCTTTCAGCTCGCTGCACAAAGTGGAGCCTATCCGTCTAGTTGCTTATGCAGATCTAATTCATATTGATTTTCAAAGACCAATCAAGGGTGTGGACTGGTATAGTGTGTCTGGAGGGAGAATGTCTTTTTATTCCCTCTCCAGAGGTTTAACAGCCCAAATGATCACTTACAGAAACTTTTCTCTCTAATCCATTATCTTATTTTTGTTTTTTTCTCCTTCTCCAAAGAGTAGCAAACAAACTGCTGTTGGCTGGAAACAGAAGCTCTGAATCTTTTTACAACCTCTGGGACATGCTTATCTCACGCTGTTTTTTGGGAGGGGTGGGGTTGGGGGGGGGTATTTCTAAATTATGACATTATTCCTTGTTAAAAGTACATTAGTGTCATGCTGCGTATATACTCAGGAAATAGTATGCCTTATTTCAATTATTACAGTGAGCAGCGCTTATTCTTTATTCAGAGCTCTGCGCGAGGCCTCTGAGCTTATTTTGAATGGGATTCACCATTCATCTTTTGGAGTAATGCTCTGGCTGCTGTCATGAGCAGTTGTGTAAGCACTGGAGACTTATGGGAGCACACCTGGGACCACTGGGAAATCTGTTGCAAATTTTACATTTATGGCACTGTGAATTTTGAAACAAAACTGTGCTGCTTACAAAGCTATTAGCACAAGGGGGTGTAATGGGTAAAACATATAATTAAAGCCAACAAAAGCTGGAAACTAAAAAAACAGCAAAAAAAACGCAGACAGAGGGAAGTGTGTTAAGTGACCTAAAAATGATAAGCCGTTTTAGATTTAAACTCCTCTTACTCTCTAGTTAATGTGTCTCTCTCGCCACCTAAGCCTCACCATTCTCTATTTTGTCTCTCCATTTCTTTCCAATCCAGAGACTCTTTCCACACCCTGGAAAAGGTCCGAGAAGATGGAATCAGAGATGAAAGCGCTTGATAGCACCTCCTCTGTCAGCTTCACTTACTCTCCCCTGCACTTGTGAAAACTGACATCACCGGGTGTTTTCACATGTCACGTTTTCCGTCTTTGCTGTCTCTGGAATTTGGCTTGACCTATTCAATGTAGCTTTTATGAAGAAACTTCAATCAAATCCTTTATTTACTGAACACCACAAGCAGTATCTAGTTACTGTTAACTGGAACAGCTTGTCCCTGCCGTACAAGGGGTTTTGTGAGAGAAAACTAACGTTTTTGCAGAGTATCATAAAATGTGTCATTAATATTCACCATAGTACCCATAAGCCACATTATGAGTATTATCTCGTAAAGTAAATGTACATTTAAGAAGCATCCTAAGTGGCAGTATGCCTGATTGCTTTGTCAGTGAAAAAAAACAAGATCTGAATTAATAAACTCTGTTGTAGTGAATGTTTGATAATGTCACAGTTGGTTGGTTGGCAAATTAAATACATCCAGGAAAAACAATACATATTTTTACAAAATTAGAACACTGTTATAGTAACTTTATCAGTGTAAGAAGGGCAGTCAGTCAGTGAAGGCTACTACCACAACAGAAATTATTTAAAAGAAAGCATTATTGGATTATTCCACAAATTATTTACTGCAGAATGACATTTTAGAAAGACAAATTAGATGATTCTCCTACCTGTACAGTTAATATGAAGCTACCTCCAACAGGCGGTTAGATCAGCTTAGCTTAAAAACTGGAAACCGGGGATAACAGCTAACCTGACTCTGTCCAAAGGTAAAATTCAGCATACCAGCATCTCAAGCTCACTAAGAGCTTACCGAAGTGTAAAAACAACACTTTGTGGTTATGTGCCAGACTATTTTGTCTGTTGGAGTTTTGTCATTGCTGTTAAGGTCGCCAGGGAGCCAAGGAAGACTTGTGCTTTTGTGGTCTTGTGTGTGCTGCTTGTGTGTGTGCTAAGATATGCTTAAAAGCTGCTATTTGTAGCCTCATTTTTACCTGATATGAAAGTGAAATCAATATTCTCATCTTACTCTTAGCAAGAAAGTGAATAAATGTGCTGTATTTCCCCAAAATGTTAAACAGTTCCTTAAAGAAAGCTAAATGCACTGATTCCTAATTGCTAACTTAGCATCTAAGTTCAGCTACAGATCATGACCAAAATGTGATTCCAAAAGGATAAAGTGTGTGCTTACCATGGGTCCTGTTTCTCCAGGCTCTCCTGGATCACCCTGTAGTAAATATGAAAAACAGCCAGTTAATGGTTAATTTCTTCTTTGAAAAATTGAGAACACGCATGGAGTTTTAAAATGATCATAGACAGCATTCTGAGTAAAACAAGTCAAACATTTGGTTGAAAAAAATACAGTATTTTCCACATTATGGTCAAATTCCCCATTCGTTTTAGTGTTTGGCCACTATGGTGCATAGGGCCGAGGTTGCCAAGTAAAATCAGCATTGTTCTGCTCATATACCACGTTGGCTGGGAGGCGTTTATCATGCTGTGACACCTGTACCCTTCACTGTCTCCGTCCAACAACCTTGTTCTAGTCTCCGCTTTCGGTTCTGGCCTGACTCTTGGATGTTCCTGCAGTTCTCAGGGTAGAAAAAAGACATATGCCATGTTCAAACTTCTTTGCCAAACCCATGCTTGAACATTATTCCATTTTGCCTCTTTGTGACATTTACAGGACCATTTTTGCTACCCTCCTTCTGTGTGATTCATGGCAGGAGAAATAAATCATGAGAGAAATAAAGCGCCCCAGCGAGAGAAATTTAGTTTCTTGGAAAACGCAACAACTATTGCGACTGCAACTGAAAGAACTGAAAACAATAATCGTCAAAAACTTGGAAAGAAACAGATAAACAACACTTAATATTTTTGCACTCCCACTGTGATCTCTGCCAAGACAATAAAGATCAGCTGGAGCCCTCGGAAGGTTTTATGGCTAAACATAATTGACAGGCCTTTTCTGTTTCTTCTTTCTCTCACAGGCAGAGTTCACATAAATTAGTGTGATGCCAGTGACAAGCTTAAAGACATGGAAAATGTTACGTTATAATGAAAAACAACCAAGTAAACATAAATCCATAGAGTGAAGCATTCTCTTGGGAGCATATTCATGTTTAGCTTAAGACATTAGGGCAATGAACCGCACCGTAGCTTGTCTAGTCTCCATTAGAAAGGTTTTCATTGGGATAAACCCCCCCGGCACTGAGTCAAAGTCAATTGAATATGAGTACAAAAAGAGCTGAACTTGTTTTTCTCATTAAGGAAACAATGCAGCACTTTTTAAAGGAAAAATCCACAGAATTTCACTGATCCAATGCCATTTTGATAATACACTGACTGCAAAAGAAAATCTTCAGTTCAGTCTAATCAAACATCTTCAGATGGAAGGTGACAATCAATACTCACTGGTTGACCAGGTAAACCTCTGGGCCCATCTTTCCCAGTGTCCCCTGGAGGCCCCCTTGGCCCTGGAGGGCCCGGTGGCCCCGGAGGTCCAGGTGGTCCTGCTTGCCCTTGATCTCCCTGTGTGGCAAAATAACACATTTTAACATCATTACTGTGTGATATTGTAGGATCCAATGAGACTGGAGCCACTGCAGTTAAATGATAATGAAGAGGGAGTAGTGCAATGATCTCGTGGGTGGCTAGGGCTGCCTCCATTCATAACAGGGAACAGTTTGCATTTTGGGTCTTATGGCTAAAGCTAGCATACAGAAGATGGAACTGCAATGTGATTTATAGCTGAAATAGTAATCCCCTAAAATGCATGCATTCCTAAATGGACTTAATGAGTCGAACTGGGGTTGTGCATTAGGCACCAACTGAAAAGAAGTCTCATTTGTAAAGCTACAATAATCAGAGTGAAAACATACTGAAAATGTGTGGTCCATTACTATACTGGATTATAAAGAAACTCTAAGTAAACATCCAGCAATCTAACTGGCAGGGAAAGTGCTTCAAGTAGTGCCATGACAGTAATTCATTTTACCTTAATAAAACCTTTCTCTAAAAAGAAATTTCCCTTTAACAATAACAGAAGAGAGGTTTGTCTGAAGGCTTGCATGCAAACTGCAGAATGCCCAGAGAGGAGTGATTCAGTGAGACCTGGCACGATGGACAGAGAGAAGAGTGAGGACACAGCCACTACCTTAATGAGCCGCCGCTTTATGAGCTGCTGGTCAGCGGAAAGAAAGCCATGATTGATCTTAGGGAAGACCATCTGAGCAGGTGTGTGAGGTCAAGAGGTCGTAGATCAGAGGTGAGAGAAGGTTGAAGAAGGATGAGGTCCCAGAAGAAGAAGAAGGAGGAGGAGGAAGGCAAATGCAAAAAGAAACAGTTTTTGTTAGAAAGGCCTGTGTTCATGAACCCCCGGTCCAGCGCCTTCACAGATGGGGGGAGAAATCCACACTTTTTGTTCGGAAGTCTGGGCTTTTATTTTGGAACCAGAGCCCATAATTACCACCTCAGGGGTGCGAGGGCGCCACAGCGAGCTCACAGTCCCCAGGAAAATGGGAATTTCTCCTCCTCTATGAAAACGCTGTCATCATCTTCATTGCGCCTGCTACTAAGTCAGACCCCGGGAGCTGCACACACTGAAACCAGCGTGGTCGACCTTCTGAGTTGAGACAGATTTCTAACCTTGTTCCTTTCAAAGCATGCATTATTCTGCTAGTGTCCATTGGTATTAAGTGGCTTCATCCATCGCTGAAACAATCCTCGAGGCCAAATTGGTGGATTGAAGGATTTGTGGTGAACCATGGGCATGAGCTTTAAAAAAACATTTAGCCACTTTGGTTCATCATCAAGTATTCCTCTTGGAGTTCCTTCCACTTATTTTAGCATCAATGGACACGTTCCAGACCATGTCTTGATTTCAGGATGCCGATTCTTGTTCCAGTCAGCTACATACTACTGGGTTGAAAAAGGCCACCTTTGCTTTCAATTGGGAACCGGGCATGCAGCATGAAACCAAAATCTCGAGTGACTGAAAGACTGGTAGTGGCAGTGGAGGAAGAGGATAACGATTGACTGGCTGTGATTAATTAGATGGGGTTTTTCCTGTGCTTTGTCAATCATCAGGCTTTGAGAAAAAGCAGCCGACAGTTATTCATTTACTCCCAGTGTGTGCTGCGGAGGGGTCGGACAGAGCAGCTAGGCCGCACCACCACCGACAAACCTTGACAGTCAGGATCTGATTGCTGTGCAAAGCAGCCAGCGTAGGGAGACCAGGCAATCCCTAAAGGGACAAACAGCAGAACATGGCACAACACACACAACATTCAAACACTGGGTGAACAAAAACAGTTAAAGGAGGAAGAAGATAAGCATACTACTTCTACATATTCTTACAAAATTTGTGAAATAAGCTGTATATGTGAAATACTGTAACATGCATTTGAGGGGTTTTCACGAAACTGTCAAAAGCCAACATCAGTTTAAATGTCAAACAATTAGTTTTGACGACATTTCTATTCAGGCCTAAACAACAACTTTTATCTTGAACATTCACCATGTTAAAAAGTCCAAGTTTATTCTCAGCCGTGAAACAGTGTCTACAATGGCACTGAGATCATCCCGTGAGTGATTGCTACACTGTCATAGCGAAATAACCGTTTCCTGTTGTTTTGTTCAGACAAAACATGTGTTGAGATGATTATCATAGAACAGACTTTGAGCTATAACACGCTGGTAAACTGAGGAGCTGTATTTGTATTGTTCATAGAGTTTTGGGGAACATCAAGGGATTGAGATGTTCACTGGAAATTCAATCAAATGGTTTCAAATTCCCTTGTCAACAATTGTCGAGACAGATGTGATCCACTCATGAAAACTAAATACAAGAAGAAAGCATCGGGCCATCTCCTTGTAAAAAAGAGACAAGGGTTTATAGCTGAATGCTAACTTTCATCTGAATCCAGAAACAATGACATATCGTCAGCTCAACATGGTTTTGAATGTTATACTCAAATAAATGCTCTCCATTAAGTTTCATTGACTATCATTAATTATTCCCTTTGGGGATGTTGTCCATACTTAAACACATATGTATTATTTCTTTGATTGTAACAAGTCTTTTAGAGTCGTATTGCCATATACAGTAAATGTCCACTGAAACATGAAGTGACCATTTGCAAAACCTCTCCCCCAGAGATCGTCCAATCATAGCTTAGCAACAAGCTAAAGTGATATTCATGGGGCTGTAATTACACTCGGCATTTCAAGTTTTAGAGGGTTTTGTCTTTTTTTCAAGCCTTTCCTAAACACAAAAATGCAAAGAATGGATTTAACAGTTCATTTGTCTGCACTAACGTAAGCCACATTCGTTAGCATGTCTGACTAAATAGCTTACTACCTACAGCTGTAATAGAGCTACTCCCAAAGCCAAGGAGAGTCTCATAAAACTGGAAAAATACAGTTTTAAAATATGAACAAGTACTATGTAAGCTGCCAAACATGTTTATGTTAGAAATAAATAATAGTCTGATTTCTTTAGTTCTAATGCTAAGTGTATAGAAGAATATGCAAAGATTGTACCACATTGGTTGTTCAGTTATTGCATATTCCCGTGTTTATGTTTAAGCTGCAGGTGTAAACATCCAACCTGATTGAATTGATGAAAGTATTTCTCATAGACTGGCACACTAGGATAAACATTCCCTTGAAGAGATCAGTCTTCCTCTATATTCAAGCTTAAGATAAAATCTGGCCTATCCAAACATGGCTTTGGTGCCATCTCTCTGGTTTTCCAAAGATAATTCAAAAAGCATGGTTCATTAAGAATATGACTATCAAGGCAGGTGGATTTAATTGAGCACGGCATGCAGAACAGAGCAATGGATACTCTTACACTGCAGACAATAGCCATGCTGTGTCTCACTAGGTTTGAAGCGCAAATATTTCTCAAGTTATTTACAACCTCAAACATGTTGAGGACAAAGAAGGAAGTGCTGGATCACAGTCAGCAGGGAATGGACAATACAAAGAGTCCATCAAAATGTAGTGGCTCATGTGTAGGCTGGCACAGTGTTTTCTGGGTTGGAGCCTTTGAAGATAAAAAGATTATCTGACCAAAAAACAGTAGTTTGAGCTTTCGCTGCAGAGGAAGAGACTAGGTGTGGGTTAGAGCTCACTCTACATTGCCTCTTTGCTGATGTCTATGTGTGAGAATGATAATGACATGGCGGTTGACAGAGAATCCTAACCATTTACAGATTGCTTTGTTTTGCTTTTCTCCTCCAAAACGGATGTTGGTTATTTGGTGAGGAGTTCTATTGCTATGTATTCGCCTGAAGCAAATGACAACAACTATAGTAAACAAAAAGCGAGATACAAGGACAATCAGCAACAGCCATCAAAAGACACATGGCCAGAAACAGTCTCTCCCTGACCACACCAAACACACAAAACATCCCAAGAAAATACAGGCTGTGGCATTTTCTAAATATCTATATGTGGAGTGGATTACCAAGTCTGTGCACAGATGGCTTTAATACATTAAGAGAGGAATAATACATTCATTTGAAGCCTCAGATTTGGCAACAATCCGACACCTCAATTTTATCTCAAGTGAAATTCATTTTAAGGCTCCTGATTTCATTTGAACAGTCGACTGTAAAACACTTCTTTGTTCATGACTGAAAAGTAAAATCCTGGAAATTACATAATCACAGTCTCTTTATTTTGGAAGAACATTGCAAACTGGTCAAATCTCCCGATGTGAGAAGTAAAGTACTTGACAAACAAGGGCAGATTCTTTCATAAATTTTTCCTCTAACTGACTTCACCAACCTTTGCCTGACACCTGTAGCTCGTGCCATCCGTCAAAAAGACCACACACCTATCCTGGTGATACGCGTTGCTAGTAACTCCTGTTAATTATAGCACTCGAACGGTGGCCACACATGTTTGTCAAAACTGGCCAATTTATTATTTGTTGCTTTGTTAACCTTTGACTTTTGGATGTGGCCTTTGCCCTTTGGGGCCGACAAATGGCTGACCCTGACATGTGGGGAGCAGGCAGAGGAAGTGTGTGTCTGTGAGTAAATTCTACTAGCCATGTGGCAATTCTCACACTGTCTTTGGCCACAAAGGATGAGGGGTTTTGACTTCACCCTTTGATTTGACGCTAGAAGACACATCCTCACCAGATATACGGCATTATGGGTCATCTGTGCAGGGACCTTATTACGACCCATATTTACGTTTATTATTAGGTCTCATCTAACATACACAGGAGACTGGGGTTCATGTCCTGTGTGAAACCAAAACTGTGTACGTCATGTCACTTACGTAACGCACTTAACACAAACCATGATCTTTTCCTAAATCTAACCAAGTACTTTTGTTGCCTAAACCTAACCAAACTGCGACTGTTTCACAGTGTTAGCCATGTGTTTAATGTCACGCCTGCTGATGTTTTCAGGAACTGTCATGTCATTTTGGGAGTCATTGGCAATCGACCCTGTTCTGTCTTTAGATATGACTACGTGTCGACATGCAAACACAGATCCTTTAAAAGATTCTAAATTTAAATCTGCTTAGATTTGATGTAATCTGTCAGACTGTGATAAATAGAGGACATATTTTAGACATGCTCCGTGTTTTACATGTACATCCATATGGCTTTATTAGCCTCTCTGCACACAGTCAACACTGGGCATGGAGTGAGCTTCATATTCATAACCCTAACCCAAGGTCAGTCAGCACCCGTCCTGTCCTTCATTTATTAGGGAAATATTTCTTATATGGTTCCACTATGTTTACCTCTTAATCTAAAGGCCAATGTCAATATGCCATTCTGGGGAGGTAATATAATTTGCTGGTAACCTAGACTGTTTTCATGCCCCTGTAGTTCATATGTGACTGTGAGTTAATTTGTACCTGTTAAGGGGCAATTTTGCTGTAATTGGAAGCTAATGAAATGCTATCTTGAAGTGGACAGAGTATTTATTTATTCTACAACACAAATAGGGCCTATCTGGTACCAGCCACACTGCTGTTTCCAATGTGTAACTTATTTAAGTGATAGAGACGGATGGCTCTATTTGCAAGGTTAAAGGGGTACAAATTATGGGCAAAACCCAATAAATTATATCCAAAAAGTTTCTTCAGTCATTTCAGCTGGAGAGCTAAGATATTTCCTTTCTGTCCGTTCCCATGCAACTATAATGATTATCCAAGGCTTTTTATATAATTAAAAATGAACTAAGGATATCACAGATCTGGGAATGTATTTGTAGATCCACTCAAGAGATCCACAATGTTGAACTTGGCTGTCATTTTGAGGAGTGCCCGTGTGTAACAGACCACTAATCAAATTTCACAGAGAAGGTCATTTGTATTGACTTCCAAATCAGAAGAAACGTGCTGCTTTGACGTGCAGATCTGGCCCGGAGGAGAGCTGACAAAGTTAATTGGCAAACTACTAACGTCTGGGTAGGCGCCAATGCAGAATTGGGATCAGATCCACTTGGGAGACGGCTGGTAAACCTCTGTGTTGATGTGTTCTCTTGTCCTTGTGCTCTAACCTCTATGTGCTCTATGCGCTCATCGAAGTCAATTACAGACACTGACAAAGTGACGCTGACTCCATCGGTTCTAGCCTTGATGACGACAGCAGATAGAGAGGAAGTGAAATGTGTATGCATGTCCGCATGTGACCCCTGTTAATGCGATCTACTTTAAACAAACCTGTGCAGTCTTAGTGTTTTTCAAAGATGGCTAATTTTTTAACTATTATCCGAGAAAAATGAGGGCGCGCTGGCTGCTAGGTGGAGATAGAGTAATTAATTTCAGAGTCTGTCAAGCACGGAAAAGCACTCAAATCATCATTTAGAAGCTGCACTTACATAGAAATGTCAAACTACGGAGCTGGAAATGATTAAAGGTCTGAATATGCCATGTCACGCTGAGGACTGAAGTGAATCACAAGTAATTACAGAGACAGAGCTAGTTGGCTTTTGATTACAACTGAGATTGAGCAGATATCCTCTGCTGATGTGCGAAAGCGTGTTCTCATGTTCAATTTGCAGACAAGAGGTAAAACTCTCAAAAAGTATACCACACCGTGCCTTCCAAGTTATCTTGCACATTCGCCTGCCTATTCTTGATGTAGAAATAAGCAGTGCTGAAATGCTTGTTGTATTTGGCCAGATGGGAAGAACACTATCCCAGGAATTTCATGCATCTCAAGCCTTTTGCCCACAATTGAGCTGGGGGAGACGCACACAGTCACATTCATCAGCTAATCACAAGAAGTCAGAGTTAACCGCATACCCGTGGTCCCTGGTCTCCTTGATCCCCCTGCAGAAGGCAAGAAAAAGAATTTGTCTTGAAATACAGGGGTCGAACATACACTGAACACACAGAAACAAGTATAGTGCTAATAATAAGCTTGCACCTAAATCACTGAGACATTCAGAACACACTGATAAAGAAAAATAATGCAGCCCCCCTCAACTATTCATTGTGGTTGAGAGTAAAATCACTTATGATAACATGGACTGACATGAATTGGGTATGAGAGAAAGAAAGAGAGCAGTAGTGTGAGGTTTGGTGGGTTTGGTGAAGGGGGAGTGTGGGCGAACTGCATTACCAGGCCAGAGTTTATGCCCCTGAAAGCTCTGGCTTTCTGCCTTTTTTTGGGGGGGGGGGGTTAGGGAGTAGATCTCTGTGGACGGAGTACGTTCCTAAAGGAGAAAACGCTTGGTTTCGAATCAACCTGTGTGTAGAAGGCTGTGGGTTTAACACATTACAGTGAAACCTAACCAAAAGTACACTTTTGTTTGAAACAACTGAAGGACGACCAAATGTTGGACCCCAAATTACAACCTTAATCTGTCTAGAAACGGATAACTGAACATCCTTAAACCTTCTCATTTGATGCACTCTCGCTCTGTTGTTGGCTGAGTTACAATTTAGCCACAGCAGTAAAACGAGCCAAACAACTTATCACACATGGTTGGGAGTTTTGCTCAAACAAACTTCAGTGTAATGCCTGAGCAATTTCAAATAAAACAGCTCTCGGAATTTGCGTAATTTTTCATTGGGCAGTCGTTCCAAAACCTGATTTTAATGGGAAAACAGTTGTGAATGGCCACACTGATGCATGCTGTATTCGTCTTGGGTGGGAGGAATCCGCACAGTTGTTTTTCATTTCGTTAAAACTGCAGATGAAGTGGCTCACATGAGAGGCATGAACATGCATCTAATCAGCGAGACTCGGTTATTCACGATTGTCACAATGGATGCTCGACAATCATCAAACTTTGGTCACGCTTATGGCTTCTATTTTCTTCTTTAAGGGACACCAAATAAGGAAACACACTGGTGATTCATTACATCGGTCAGCGACAACCAACATCATTCCACAACCCACATTACTAGAAATCATCAGTTAGCAAAGTTGATGCAGATGACAACTGTAAGCAACTGTTTCTCTGTGTTTGACTTCACCTCTGGTTAGCACTCTCACTCCATTTCATTTTACGTGTTGTATTTTACAGAGAAATAATCCTTTAAACATAAGGAGTTATTGCTCAAGTTGTCCCTCACTTCATACAAAATATTAATAAATAATGAATTCATTGCTGGCCTGTAAAACAGAACAGCTCTTCCCCAGTAGCAATTTATAAGTATGTACTTTAAGCCATTTGTTTCCATCATAAGTGAATTCAGGGAGTTTATCAACTTTGGTGTGAATAAAGGGATCTCGTGGTTTTAGTCTTTCAAAGCAAAGGCAGGGGCACGCATTTGTCCTCGAGTCCTGCAGACTTATAAAGAGACAGGGTGGTTATTTTGCATGCTCCACTGCTGTTTTATAGAGGAATGCTCAGCGAGGCATTTAAGGGCTCCAACTTGGGCTCTGGCTTTCAGTCATTAATGTTCTGTGCTGTCGATTTGTGAACGACAGGAGAATTTAAATATTCAGACTCTGAGACTTAAAGGTCAGGATGACTTGAAAGCGAATTATTGCCACAATTGCAAAATCATATTTCTGAGTAGAGAGTAGAACAACATCTAAGACTTTTTTTATTGTCCTAACCTGCAAATATGGACTGACAATTAAAGACAAAATTTTCACCTTTCTAAAAGGGATAGTTTGACATATTGGGAAATAAGCATATTTGCTCCCTTACCGAGAAGATTAATACTACTCTCATGTCTGTACAGTAAATATGAATATGGAGCCAGCAGCTGGTTAGCTTAGCATAAAGACTGGAAACAGAGGGAAGCTAGTCTAACTAGACAGATTTTGTTACCTTCTGTCACAACCAGGCTAGCAGTTTCCCTCTACTTGCAGTCTTTGTGCTAAGCTAAGTGGCCGCTGGTGCTATCTTAGGTTTCTTGGCAAGAAATCAAACAAGCGGCGTATTTCCCATAATGTCAAAGTATTAATTTAAGCAGTTGAACAAAATATCTAAGTAGATCAACAGTATCCCATAAATACCACAATATATCAAACATACTGTATATAAAATCGCTCACCTTATCACCCTTCGGACCTGGAGGGCCCTACAAAGAGAAGAAAAATGACAGTTAAATTTTTTTTGAATTTAAGATACAATCCACTACAACAACTGTAAAACCATGGTGACCAATCATGTTAGCCAACAAATAAACAGAGCTGCTTAACAAGGTTTAAACATGATGAACTTAGAGGGAGAAGGTGAAATCAAAAGATTAATTAATTGAATTTTGATGAACCTAACATTGTGCATCTTGTTACAGACTGGGCACCACTACCTTATGCATTGAGAACAGCGGGAATTATACAAACATACAATTAAAACCAAAACACAGGCCCAAATCAAGTCCATGTTTACTTAGAGGATCAAATCCAGCAATTCCAAACCACGTATTGGCAAGCAGATTGTTAAAATGTGCCCTGAACATGAGGAACACTTTTTTTTTTTTTTTTTTAACGCAGCAGTTCTTATGAAGCAGTTTTTGCATCCAGCTTCTGTCAGTCAGCAGGCAGAGGCTCTTGGGTGGGCTCTGTAAAAGATCATGAGTGAAGTAGAGAATTTGACAATGAGGTGTGCATCCATACACTGGAGCCTAATGAGCTTGTTCTCAAAAACGCTGTTTTTAACATTCAAGTTGAAGGATGAAGCCCAGTATGCTGGCCTCTTTTTCTTCCTCTGAGGTGGCGCTTTCGGAAAAATCTATCTTTGGAAAAATTAGTATTAGATGAGTGTTTGAAGAGTGACTAACTGACCACCAGCTTAGCAACAATGTTCCTGAGCCCATGTACACTGATACTGATCAGTGCTTCACATGAAAAAGTTATCTGTCAAATATATCTTATAGATTTGTTTCCGAAGATATCAGACACAGGAAAGTACACCAACACTAATCCATTGATTGATGACATTAATATAAGGCCAGTGTTTGGAGGATGTTACTGTGAGTCTATGGACCAAGTGGCCCTGAATAGCAAGCTTGCAGACACAGACAGGCACACACAGCACTAGTCTAAAACTGAAATGCTCCAGAGGTAGTCCAGCAGTTTTCCTCAGCCAATTTCAACCACACTGCTGTGAGGGAAGCGAGGTGTAGCCTGCTCAGTGCCTATAGACATTATTTTAGATGCATAGTTAACTATCCGTAGCTTTTCGTTTATGTGCAAGTGTTCCCAACAGGTTCTGCACTAGGTCATGAGGTTGTGAACCTGTAGAGGGAGCTTGTGTGCTGTCATCGCATTAACAAAATGTGAGGCAACTATGTTTGCTTCAACACGCGGAAATGCAGCTTTAATACGCAAATATATAAGACGTTGGACCTTCTGCTTACTTGACTGGCCATACAAAGACCCACAACACACTTGTAAACACAAAATGCTCATTATAAAAACTGTATTTCCGATTGTGGTTCCCAAGGGGGAAATAACAGAGGCAACATATTGGAATCAAATGTGACTTTTACTTTTATAATGATGTAGAGGCATTCCAGAGGGGTTAAATAAGTTTCCAGCATGTTTCTGAAAATGGAAGGCAGCTAAATAAAGTCAGTGCAGGCTTTTTGTTGAAGGAAAATTGTCTTTGGACAATACAAGGCTATTGACAAGCTGTTAATGCAAACATATGAATGGCTGCAACAAAAAAAATACATAAATAAACGCACCTCAGCTTTTTGCACAAGTCTGCTTAGGGTATTATATCTGGCAGTGAAAAATACAAATAGTTGGCACACCAAATTATTGGGCTAAATGACTGGGCACCGTAAGTTTGTGGAAAGAAACGGAAACTCAGTTTTATATGATTTAACATTTCAATAAATCCAGATTGTTCCACGATAAGTGCAGCAACATTGTAAAACTTGATCAAATCCACATTGAACATCCAGAACAGGGCAAATATATATATGTTTTTATTAGTATATGACATCATGAACAGATACAATTGTATGTCATGTCATCCACCCATGTCTATATTTAGTTTGTGAGGGAATAAATAAGGAAAATTGGGTCATGGGTGTTAGATGGATTCATACAGCAGATATCCCACACAAATAGGTTTGATTAGCGAATTCAGTAGTTCCCAACCTTTTTTATGTTCCCTCTCATGTCATATAAACATACTGTTCCTCAACAATGCCATTTATTTCAACCATTCATTCATGACAGTTACAATAGCAAATAGTCCATATGACCAATTTATCCGTTACTTTTAGCTAACAATTCTGTTAATCAGTTACTTTAGCTATCAATTTTAATCATTTATCCATTACTTTAAGTTAGCTATTTTCATGTATTCATTACTTGTAGCTTACTATTTTAATTATTTATCCATCACTTACAGGCATTTAAGCTTCATATGACTGGTGATATACTGCATATTACAAATATTTTCGTTTTGAAAAAGCATCTCTTGATAATCATGCCTGTTGAACTGTATCAACTAAGCATGAGCGAGTACACCACCATCTGTATGTGTTCAACAAATTAAATTATCTGTATCCATACTTAGTATGGGTGGGGCTTAATCCGGACGTGGGTGGGACTAACCAGAAGTTGCTATATTTATTAGAAAACTATTTACAGAACAGCCTCAGATTTTTGATTGCAATAGTAAGAGAACTATGTTTTATAAAAAAGTTCCTATATTTATAGATTAGAAAACAGATACTTACACATTTCACTCTAATGCTACTTGTACTTGTAAGAAGTACATTATCTGTACCAGGTTCTTGTTTCAACTGAGTCCTTGTTCAAACCTAGTATCAGTCATTTAAGAAAGACTTGGTGACTACATTCGCCAGCATTTTCTGGTAAATTTATAACTTAATAAATGAAGCTCAGTGTAAGTTCAACCAGGAAGATTACATTATGCTTCATTCATTCACAACTCTCTCTCTCTCTCTCTCTCTCTCTCTCTCTCTTTCAACTTCTTCAAGATTTTGCCAGGATCTCCATCAGCCAATAATGTAGTCGCTGTCTAACTTTTAACTCTCTGCTGCTCTCCACTGTCATTTCGGTGGGAAATGGCTCCACCCCATTCACCTATAGGCCCAGGTCAAGCTCATCAGAATTCAGTATTCTCTTCATCCAATCACCACCACCAGTGTCTAGACTCCATGGGGTGTTTTCTATACCAATTAACCGTGTCTCCACCCCCTTTAAATACCATGACATCACGATGGGGTCTAATCGTGGCAGACTATTCACATTTCCCATATTCACTGTGTACATGTCAATAAATTATTTGGTCACTCAGATGAAGTCTTTCCTGACAGAAGTGGAACACTGCTTTTGACACAATATCTTGTCCAAAAACCTTGTTCATTTCACTCTTCCAACTGGTCGTAAAGCATGTGGAAATGATTTTGCTACACAGTCTGCACCTGCTCATTATACGGCCCATCATTTGCACATCACTTGGACAGACAGCACCCAGTGGAGCTTTTCCAAAAGGTTTAAACCAGTACAGTGAGGGTCTTTTATAGAGACCATTAAACAGCTCTCCTGCAAAGACTATTTCAAAAGGAGCGAACTGTACAACAGTAGAATTGCAGCAGGTGTCTATTTGTCATGCTTTCTCTGCAGCTTTGTGGTTTCACTCTGCCCCAAGGAAGGTTTCTAATCAGCACCTGTGAATGCTTTTCACATCTTTTTACCGCTTCTGCTCTGGCTCTTTTTCAAAAGCTGCCCTTCAGCAGGTGCTTCATAGCATCCATCATCAGTCTGCTTCTGTTTGATCAAACTTACTGACTGTGAGTTACCAAGTTACTGTCTTGAACATCTCTATAGTGCCTTTAACACCTTCATATTCAGCCTACACTGGATTCTGCAATGGCCACATGCATATCTCAAAAACTGCAAACTATTTATAATGTTTTTTTAAAGGAACAGTTTGACCTTTTGGGAAAGTCATGTTCTTGCCAGGAGTTAGATGAAAAAGATTGATACAACTTTCATGTGTGCAAAGTAATTATGAGGCTACAACCGGCATCTGGTTACTGTAGCTTAGCATAAGGTCTGGAAATGAGGGAAACGGCTAGAATGGCTGTGCCTAAAAGGGCGCAGTCACAGCCTGAAGTCTTCCTGTCAGTGTGAAGTTTCAAGACATCCAGCGGAGGGTCCCCCAATGTGTTACACCTTGTTTTTTGTGCAAATTAAACAAATAAAATATGTGCTGATTAGTGATTTTTAGAGGTTGCCCGTTTCCAGTCATGCATAGCTAAGCCAACCAACAGCTGGCTATAGCCTTATACTTACTGTACAAAGAGCAGTATCGATCGTTTCATGTAATGCTCAGCAAATTGCTCTACTCATGTTTGCATTTTAGTTTGGGTGTAAATTTAGTACAGTGTTTCACTGTTACTGTAGGAGCAGGGACAATTATTATTCCGAAAACATAACAATATGCTCTTCATATGTGAACAGAATGCATTTGCACTAAAGCAGAATCACTATATCCACTTATTGAAAATGACACATATCACGCTGATGGTAAGCCTCACATCTTCTGCTGCTTAACGCCGGGCAAACTCAAGTGAAACTTCCATCATGAGATGATTTGTAACCTAATCCTGTGTGCATGACATTGTCGAGTTTATGGCGGACCACTGGATCAGGATTAAGCTTTATTCTATACAAATACATGTCCAGCTTCTCATTTCATAAGCCAAACCATGACCACTGTCTCCTGCAATGGCCTGAATGAGCTGTTGGTATGAAAAAGAGGAAACCCCTGCCACCTTTAAAACAGAGTGGGGGAGAAATATGGAGAGCTCTGTGGCGAAACATAAAATGGCAAAGGGAAGTGGGGCCAAACCCACAACCAACGTGAACATTGCTAATCAAATCTGACAATGTAAGTTATTTCACTTCATACTACAAGGAAGGAGTGCATGATGATCGATAAAATGATCCCGGCACCAAGGTACTAGTACACAACTAGATTTTCACATCTTTTCTGTGTTGGTCTATCTTCGCTAGTGGAAGAAGTAGTGTCAAGATTTGTTTATATTTTATACAAAATTGCGTGCTTGTGGGTGGAACTGATTACCCA